TGATTTCTATAGATAAAAATACTAATTGATATCGATTGATCGTAAGAATACCTGTTAAAAAAATGAGTGAAACATAATAAGTTTCTTGAAGAAAGCTTTAATGTTAAATCAGCTGTGCATAAAACGTTTACAGATAAACTACGGTGGGATTAAAAAAATTCTTTATCGCAATCAAATGAACATGATTATAAACCAATCTCTGCAAGTAAAGAGAAAATATTTGTATTTTACAGTGACGCTCCATAAATCCCTATTTGAATTGGGTAGCGCTAGCAATCTAGCCTAAGAATTGATTTGTAGAGCCACTGAAATCCAATTTGATCTTTTTTAGTACAGTTTTGGTCCAAAGTTAAGATATTTGATAAGCGTGTTGTAATTATGCGACGAGCTTTTTATGCTTGTATGTTCATTTACTTGTACTAATATAAGTATGCAGAGAAAATCAGCTTTCTTTAGAGGATTGCTAACTATATCCATTAATGATCTCAAATGTCCTAGCGACCAACCAGACTCACGCAATAGTGGTGGTTGTCCCTGTCATATTGTGTAGTGTTTGGTTTTATTTTCCGACATTCATTTGACAGTTTGAGGACTGTCATCATTTATTAACACATAACAACGCATTTAATGATTATAGTTTATAATCTTCCTGACTGCTCAATATTCAACTGACCATCGTTTATCATGATAAATCCCTTGATAAAAATCCTTGTTAATGAATTAAAGATTTAATTAATGCCAGACAACACTTTATTTTAATTAGATACAAACTGAATCACTATAGAATATCAAGAATTTCTATGCTTACATATAACACAACTGATCTGCGTGTTTATAGTTTAATTCATTTTGAAGGGAGTAATGTAATTACTTTAGTTGTCAAAACGAAAATACTAAGAAGTATTCCATTATTGTTGTATCAAAACAGAAGAAGCATTATCAATAGAAGTACAAATGACTGATTATAAAATATTTTTTGTCAATACGATAGTATAAATGGCTCTGCTGTACATATGAAGAAATTTTCTAAATCGGTTTTTTCTTTACCAAACAATTATAGATACAAATCTACAATGTAATTAAATGATTGAATCGAGAAGGTAATTCTCTTCGCTGAATTCTCTTTATTCAATAAAGTTGAATTTGAAGCGAAAAATAAAACCACCGAAAACTAGAAGAGATAACAACATAATTAGTGAAATAGTTAAGATTAATTAGTACTTATATGCTGAAATGAAGTCTTTTAAAGAAAGGAGCGTTATCACAAATAATAACCGGGATAAAAATGAAAAAAGCTACTTTCATAGCAAATGGGCAATAATAAGATTGAATGTTTAAAATATAAATTAAGAGGATTATGCACTCGAGGCACTACAACGATATAATTATTTCACCATGTCAACGATAGGTTTACTGTACTTTCTGTATACAAGGGTCACGTTGAAAGCGTTTGATGTCAAATTCTTATACAAAGCATTGTTCCCTGCTAGCTAAGTATTTTAAACGTCTTTGTGATACTCACGTTGATCACTGCCTATAAAAGTTTTAGTGGATGCACCTGTAAGCACTTCATTTCTCCCCAGTTTTCGAGGAATATGTTCAGAAATCCATATAAGGGCTCTTCTTATAGTCCTTCCTATATACTTGTCATTACGAGCACACATACATTTATAAACACAATTGGAGGTGATCTTAGAAGGGCATCGATACACTTTAGTTGGTTTAAGGATCATTTAATGTTATATACTGAAAATACAAATCGCGAATTTCAAATTTAAAAAACGTTTGCAGTAGATTGCGAGACGGTCATTTTACTGCAGAAAGAATATTGGGTCCCCGATTATGAGAACTCTAGGGTCAATTTACATTCATCTGGTCATTTTCAAACAAAAAGAAACGAAGACACTAGATCCCACTGCTACGTGCAAGCTAAAGATACTAAAATTTGTAACTAAAACTTTGTACTGAGGAACATGATGAGAAGCTAGGTATGTCAATAAATGCATCGGAATTTCGGTTGAACTAGTGATCATTCGGATTCATTAGCTCACACATAACCTGTTGGCACTTGAAATAATAGTTTCAGGGCTCAAGACTCAGCATAAATGCAAAACTCAGAATGAAGGTACACTTATTTGACAACTTTCGAATAGGGCAAAGAAGGTATTATGGATAGCACTGGGGATCAGAATTTAAATCTACCAAAATGTACAAACCTTAAAACATACCGTCTGGTTAATTCTTACTTATTTTCGAGTTATTTAACTAGTTGATGGTCAAACGTTCTTTATATTCATATTATTTGTTATAAGTTACGGATATTCGAAGACATTGTTACTTCTGTATAAAAGATTACTTTCAAATAGGTGGACTAATAACAACTTGGACATATTACAGACAGTCTGGACGTTTGTTAGATGAAACAAACACCAAGTAACAAAAGAGGATAAGCTATCTGAAACAATGTTGTTACAAAGTCATAAGCTCTAAGCCACTCGAGTTCGGAAATGGACGTTAAAGCTGAGAAGCAGGTACGTCCGACTGAAGAGTCGCAAACGGGATGAAACGAGAGTCCTGGACTCCACTGATAGACATTCTTCACCTCCGCTCATAATACTCGTGAATTAAGAATAATATCGAGGCAATCCGCACAAAAGCCACACATGCTAAAAACGGGTGGTCAATTGTAATCCTAAACATTAATGTTTTTTTCAATTCAGTTGTAATAAAACACAGTCAATGAGTGATACTACTCAAATACACTTGTGAGTATGCATCATTTTAAAGAAATCATACCTCTGACTACATATCTTGGTTATTAGTGCTTCCTCGACGAAGTAGATTGGTGACTTAAAATTTCCTACTGTTTTACGTTAATGTTCTAAATTACTAAGTTGTAATTACATTCTGTTGATAAGTTCATTACAAAACAAAGTAACCGGCGATAAAATTCGAATGCTATCTATTAATATTCAGAAACTGTCAAAATGTTAAGAATACAACGGTAAAATCTATTAAATGAATCTATATTTTGAATGAAGCTAACTGGTTCGAGTCGCCAAACACTTCTCTGTTATTTATAGTATGTTTAGCATGATGACGCCTGTAGCTCTTATAGGGTTACTGCCGGTCCCAAGCCCGGGTAAAGGAGAAGGGTTAGGCATGGGGTTAGTGTCCCCATCCCGTAGAAAACTAACTCGCTAAAAAAACGCTTACCAGAAAAAATAATCCAAACCATTTTAACTCTGCCCTGGGAGTTAGAAAGTCTTCATTTAGAAGAATTATGACGCTAAATGGTGAAAGCCGAGTTCCTTCGGAAGCCACGAGGCCGATGCCCCTTCTAACAACCAGAGCAACAATTTTTATAGGTACATGGAACGTCCGAACAACGTGGGAGACCGGGAAGACCAGTCAAATAGCAACGGAAATGAGAAGATACAACTTAGCAGTACTGGGAATCAGCGAAACCCATTGGACCCAAGCTGGCCAGAAAAGGCTAGCTACGAGAGAGATGCTGCTATACTCCGGTCACGAAGAGGAAAATGTGAGGGCTGTGATACTGCCCGGGTGCCCAAACCGAAGCAGGTGGTTTTCTTAGGGGGCCACACCCCGAGCCTTCGACCTGAAGGTCTGATCCACAAGGCAGTGGAGCATCGTAAGGAGATGCAGTCCCATGGAAGCCGGTGACCAACAATTGGTTCATACGCCATTTGTTCCCGCAGGATACTGGAGCCCATGTGCACCATTGGTTTGGAATACGGTTAAAGCGCCGGACATTCGCTTTTCGTCCTCTCATTTTTGTAAACAACACCCCCGCCACGAGAAGGCAGTGAGTAGGACTTCCCTGGAAGAGGCTATGTACGCGTGGCCATGTGAGAGCATTTCGAGAGGGAGAGCGGACTCTCCCCACTCTCGGCCGTACCAGGGCATTTGGGGGCATATGGAACTCAAAACAACTTTCAATCAATATCAAAGTGAGAATCTTCAATACCAACGTCAAAGCAGTTCTACTGTATGGAGCTGAAACTTGGAGAACTACAACAACCACCATCAAGAAGCTACAAGTATTTATAAATAGTTGTCTACGCAAGATACTCAACATCCATTGGCCGGATACCATCAGCAATAGCCTTCTGTGGGAGAGAACAAACCAACTTCCAGCTGAAGAAGAAATTTGGAAAAGACGATGTAAATGGATAGGACATACATTACGCAAATCGTCAAACTGCATCACGAGGCAAGCCCTAACTTGGAATCCTGAAGGGAAGCGAACAAGAGGAAGGCCAAAGAACACATTGCGTGGGATAATAGAAGCAGATATGAAAACGATGAATTACAACTGGACGGAGCTAGAAAGGATTGCCCAGGACAGGGTTGGATGGAGAATGCTGGTGAGCGGCCTATGCTCCTTCACGAGGAGTAACAGGCGTAAGTAAGTTAGCATGATGACAAAGAAAAGCTTTCCTGCATTATTACTAACCTTATTTTATTAACTCAACAGAACTGAATATTATTGTATAAAACATAGAACTATTAAGCATTAAACATTGTTTACGTAACCAAAACCAATCTATTCGATAAGACAGAAAGTGTATTCAGTTGTTAATAGACATGTAATGCTAGATTTCTGATAATCATACAAATATTGCATCCAATTAGACTTACACATTAACGAGTGTTCACAGGAGAAAGTGAATAGAAAAAATGCAGAGTGAGATTTATATAGTCCATTCGTGACGAAAACTACCTTTTACATTTCCCTTTAAATATTAAACTGAAAATAAGACAACAATTACATACTAGAACCATGTATTAATTTTTTAAGTCTATATCTGTTGTTCTCTGTTAATTAAGTATAAAATTGTATCTTATTTCTCAAGTGTCAATGGAAAGCGAGGCGATAAACAGTGAGATAAAGAAAACAATATGATACTCTATAACATAACTGATTAAAAATGAAATATTAAACTGATAGTATACAATTGACTAGATAATTTTACAATGTTTGTGATATTTCCAATGCTTCCCATAAAGCATTGATATTATTTTCACCGAAACCAGTTGATTGATTACGACGTTCAATTAATTCCATGAAAAACCCATCTTTCTGAAACAATGGTTCAGTAAATATCTGTAGTAGACTTCTAAATATTCATACATGAGAAAAAGGAGAAAGAAGAACGAAGTGTGGCTGTTTAAGCAGATGAACATATTAAGATACAATAGATAGATTAAAAATTATGATTTATTCACTGTAGTTTCAATAATGTATACAACAGAAAATATACCTCACTAATCACTTTATTGTGGCATGTCATTACACATAGGGTTTAGAAAGTCCAAAAAGTGTTTCTTGTTTTATATATATTTATACTATTTTTAAACTAATCATACTTCAAATTTCCTAAACCAAGAGTCACTGTATTCTACTCTTTAAATAACATCTCCAAACACTAATCTTTCCGATTACTGCTTATACTCTTATTACCTCTACCACTACGGGATTTGAATCGACCACTGCATCTCTGTGCTAATGTGGTGTGGCAACTCGAACTGATGTATGTACGTACGAAGTTCTACGTTGTTATTGACTGACTGACTGACTGAAACCAAAATTCTAAAATTAAATTAACAGAAATTTCCAATTTCTTCCAACAACAAAAACCCCCAGCTCATTTCCTCAAAAAAGAAGATGACATATTGAAAAATAAACGTACAACAGTAACGAATACTTAAAATAACACAGTGTCATTGAATAAGAAAAAGAGAATTCAACGAAGGAAATTTTCTTTACATTTACTTAAGCTGTACATTCGTATATATAGTTATATGGAAAAATATGTCTATAGAAGGATAGAAAGGATTGTATCACAAAAATGGATTCGAGAATAAATAACAAATAAGGTTAACGTACTAATCATGGGGTAAGGAAGAACAGAATTTATGGGTCAGATAATAACCCAATTGCCAGATATGTAGAAAAGCGACAAACAACAAAGGCCATAATGATAAAATGAATGATAATCAAGAAAACTTGTATAAGGTAATAATAATAAATGATTAAAGTGCAAAATAGTAATTTTAAAAGAAAATATCGATGATAAATAAATAAAAGGGCAGAAAAACAAAAACTACCAACACAGAAACATACCCATTAAGGAAATTAGGGCCAAGGAAGGATGAGAGGTTGGACAAATCGTTTCTGCACGCAAAGTTCAGGTTTGAGTTTGTGGGTCGCCAATGCCTCTGCGGTGCATTAACTATTGATTCGAACCCCTTTCGATCCAGTTCCTTTGACTCTGTAGACTACCTTAAATGAAGAGTCCTTTGGAGCGATGTGTCCACAGTTAATTAAGTGCTCCTATATCGAACTATTAATTGTTTTACGTTCCTCTTTTAAGAGCCAAGCCGGATAATGGTCGCTTTGTGCGGCCTATGTAACTTGCCCCACATCAGCAAGTAGATTTATCTATGCACATTGATGTGGCCCAAAGCGGAAGTTTGTCCTTAACACCTCCCAGAATGGTAGGTCGGCTGGAGAAAACAATTCGGAGCTTAGCTGCGCAGAATGTTTTATTCAATGATTTCGAAATCCGTTTATTTAGGATTTCAGCAGCCGTGTCTCCTTTAAATTCCATGTTCATAAATAGAGTTTTTTTCTCTACAGTCGATGCTTTGTCATGAAGTCTGGGTGCCAAGTTGCTATCAACGAATCTCGGTGGATAACCATTTTTTATGAGGGTCTGTCGAAGATGAAATAGTTCCCCATCTGTTGTGTCATTGGAACAGAATCGCTTGATCCTCGAGGATAAAGAGTGAATTAAGTTCCTTTTTCTACTTAATGGGACCCAACTATGGAAGTTCGTGTATTGTCCATTGCAAGTAGGTTTTCTGTATATAGATCTCTGTAAAAAACCGTCAGGCATTCTTTTTAAACGGACATCAAGAAAATGAAATTCATGGTTTGCCTCTGCTTCTAAGGTAGATTGAATCGACGGGTGACAATCATTGAAAATATTCAAGATTTCATTGAGGCCCATGTCTTCTTCACAAATAATGAAAGTATCATCCATATATCTCTTATATAAATGAAATCTCTCAATTATTGGTCGAAGTACCGAATTTTCTAGATTATCCATGAAACAATCCGCCGAGAGAGGACCCAATGGAGAGCCCATTGCAACTCCATCTATTTGTCTATAGAAAACATCATTAAATCTAAATTGTACGTTGAGCGTACACCGTAGTAGTAGTTCTTTAAGGTAATGTTTTAGGATACATATATCAAGATTATTGTTTTCAATATAGTCACATAAAAAACAAATGATTTCTGTGAGAGGAACATTTGTAAAAAGAGAAGTGACATCTAATGAGAACATTTTCTTACCGGTTACGTTGATATTTCTAGTTGAGTCGACAAATTCAAAGGAGTCAAGAGAATTGTACTTGTTGATATGATTTTTAACAGGTTGTAAAATGTCAACTAACTAGCATCTTGGTCCTAAATTTAGTAGTACGTCTTCTAACATTAATGAACTCAACGCTAAAATCCAGTGTGAAAGCCTCATTCGACAGACAAATAACCTTATTTATAATTTTTAATAGTCAAGTTCAAATTACCATGAGCAATACTTCTGTTACTTCCTTGATCTGTCTACCCACTAATTTGTAGAAGACAGCTTGTCTTAATCTAGATTAAGACCTTGACAAGATGACTGATTGGTTTAACCCTGAGGTTAGTATGCGTGAGTTCGAAGTGAAACTAACTGCTTCGCCGTAGAGAAAAGAGGAGTTAACTAGAACAGAATTCAATTTATTCTTTTCTCCGATTTCGTCCCGATTCAGATTAGTGTAAAAAGATACATGAAGAAATGGATGACTAACATGACCACAACGCAGAAACAATTAAAAAAATATAACTACGTCCAAAACTGGGGATTAAGGTAGAAAATCGAGTATAAAAGACTATGCTTAAATTACAACAGCTTTGCAACAAAAAAAGGTTATGGTTATAAATCATATATCAAAAGAAAGCTTATGGTCTTTAGAATAAACTAGGGATAAAAATAAATTTTAGTGTTTTACAAGCTTTGAATTAAATGAAATAACGTACTCAAAATTAGCTTCCGTTGTTTGTTAAGGCTTCTTGTTTCTCTGTTCACATCAACTTCAAAATTATGGTAAATTGTATAGGCTTAACAAAAAAATCTTTATTATGTTTACTTACCCTATTTGATAACCTTCATTGTTTAATTCTTTATCCACAAGTATGCCAGTTGCTTTAAGTTTTTCTAAATCCAAAGAAAATTCTTTCAAGTTGATACGCTGGGATAACTAAAACATAGATTTTATTTAAAATGATTTTTGTGCCTTGTTTGAAAAAAATATAATAGTCTGTCATATGGAAGAAAGCAATGCTTGATTTAAATTGAATTCAATTACAACTTTGAACCTGGATATTGACTGACATGCGTTTATTATCCAACGACTAAATAGTCTAGAGATAACTACTCACAGATTAATCAGCTTGTCATAATCAACGTAGACCCTAGAATATATGTATATTAGTCCAAGTTGCCATGGCACACAACAACGACGAGATTAAAGTTACAAGATGAATATTAAAGGAGTCGAAACAACGTATTGAGAATATATCTCAAAATACAAATATATGTATGTACGATTTATAGAATTCAGAACCCAAAGTATGATAAAGAATGAACAATTCTGAGCTACATCACTCAACGTTTACAACAGCTGGTTGCGTTTGTCCCGTGAGCCTCATTACTCATAGATCCATTTGATCAGTTTGAACATGAATAAATACCACGATAGAGGTTTTGCTAAATCGTACTGAAGCGTATGCTATATGAAAATTAAAGCCTCCTCTATGTTTTTAAAAAGTTTGTTTTTATGGTTATAAATACTCAGAAAATTGTTTTCTTGTCTTATTACTTCAGCTCATCTTACTACTGAAAAAAGGTAATAAAAACCATTTTTCAATCAGAGTTTAGGTGTTCAGCTTTCAGATACTGTTTGTGTGATAGGTTAGTAATATTATGAGACCACCCAAATCGAAGTATGTAGTGGGGGATTTGAGCCTTTAGTCGATCAGTATTTTACCACCCCATATTAGTATCAAGTCCCCTATATTGAGATATTGGACTCTGTGAATGTTTTTCTATACATGATATCATTACTTGTGTGTCAAGTCATTTAATGAGTGTAATTTTGTTTAATGAGGACGTTTTTGGACAACTTGATTCTAGGACTTGCTTTGATGTCGTGTTTTGGATAATCGATAAATAAACCTTTTATTGTATCAGTTTATATGTTAACACTTAGAGTCGTGAGAATAATAGTAGTTCCGTTTTCCAAGTATAAGCGGTAGGACCGCAGACTCAACAAAGTCGACAATCATATTACAGATAATATTTGAAAACACCTTTTTCGCATCATGGAGTTACATTTCAAAGTAAAATAAATTCACATACTTATGTTTTTGCAAAGTGCATCATCTGCTTCATAAATAATAATAAATTTCAATCTGAAAACCATGCTGATCAACAGCTCGATAACTTAGTGATTAGTAGGTGTCATTACCAAGGTTTGATTTGATAATTTCGAATAAATTGAGCATTGGGTTGATTGTTATAAATAAAAATAATATATTTGTAATATCCCAATGAGTAGAAAATTGGATTTCCTGACGTTTCGTGACTTAATGTAAGTCACTTCTTCAGAGAATAACCAAATTAAAATTAATCCAAGTTTAAATAGTACAACGGAACAATCATTGCAAATATATTATTTTTATTTAGTGATTAGTAGTCAAAACATTCAATGTTTACAATTACTTTGATCGAAGTGATTAATGTACAGGTGAGAACTCGGGTCAGTTCGCATCTTATAAACTGTTGTCCATATCTGATTAATTGGCTGTTAACAATATGTACTTTACTGATGGACTACGTATTAAAAATGACTAATAACATGATAATCGAGAAAATATTTTCCAAGACAACTTACAGCCTCATAATAGACGTCTGGAGCAGTGATAAATTTTATACCATTTTGATGACAGATAGCTGCTACATCTATAATGTTATCAATGGCGAGTCCCATGTGTTGTAAGCCTGGACCTGAATTCGCTTGTAGAAATCGAGTCACTTGATTAGGTTCTACAGCAATAAAAAACAACTTCAGTTAGTAAGTTAGGTGTAAAAAAAATGAATCTTCACTCATATAAGAACTTTCGTCTAAATTTGATAGAATAGTTTCACAGTATTTGGGCGCCGAGTTGACGTGAGACATTAAAGAGGAAGAATGTATTTGTAAAATCTCAGCGAATGGATTGGAATTAAATCCAACGTTTCGCTTGGTAATCTAGTCCAAGCTTTTTCAAGGAAATATAATCAAACATCAAAATTATTGGATTAGATTACCAGGCGAAACGTTAGATTGACTTCAAATCCATTCGCCGAGATTTTACAAATACATTCTTCCTTTTTAATAAGATTATTTATTAAGAAATTTTGTTGAACAAATAATACGGAAGTGTGCACCTTTTAAATCTTTATCAATCTTTAAAATTCCTTTTGAAAATACCACTGAAATTGAAAACATTGATGCTAATGTAATTTCTAATTAGTTGTTAACAAATAACATAAGACCTGCTACGTATGTGTATACGCCCAAGTCCACAAACTTTACATTAGCATAGTGTGAAAGCAAATTTAAAGGATGGATATTAAATAGGTAGAGCTAATAATGTCAGTTAAAGTAGAAACTAAATACGAGAAATGTAGTGTAAAAGGAACAAATGAAATGGAATAATTAAATGGCACTAAGTTCATAATTAGCAGTAAGGAAATAAATGGATGCAACGGAACCACCACAACGAATCCTGGGTTATAACATCCAAAATTTTAAACCGGAGCTTAAAATTAATGAGCTCTTCTTAAGCTGGAACTATGAACCGACTGACCTGTCCCCAAATGTCCTGGTACGGCCGAGAGTGGGGTGAGTTCGCTCTCCCTCTCGAAATGCTGTCACACGGCCACGTGTATACAGCCAGTGCAGAGAAAGTCCTACTCACTGTCTTCTCGCGGAAGCGGTGTTGTTTGCGAAGTTGATAGGACCAAAGGCTAACATCCGGCGCTCTAACTGGGTTGGTAGATATGGAGGATCCACCTAAGGAGGATGTAAAACCTTGATTCCAAACCGATGGTGAACATAGGCTTCAGGGTTCTGAGGGAACAAACGTCGTAGGAACCTACTTTTGGACCCCGGCCACTATGGGACTGCCTCCTGTAACGTTCCACCGCCTTGAGGATCTTACCTCTAGGTCAGAGGCTCGGGTGATGGCCCCCTTAGAAAGCCATCTGTTTCAGTTTGGGTGCCCGAGTAGTATCCTAGCCGTATATTTGGTGTCTCCTTGTACCAATGTTAATGTAATTAAATAAATAAATAAAATACCTACTAATTTAACTCAATGCAACAGCAGATGACGTTATGAACTGATACTAGGATTCTCTTAATCCGTTCATAGGACTTCTTAATCCAATCCTATCCCAGTCAGTTAGTAAATTTTGATGTATGTAAACATATTTCACGTTAATCGAATGAAAAAAAGTGTACGAACTGCATTTTGATCCGTGAATATTTTAATGAACATATTAATTATAACTAATACTGAAGACTAGTGGAATTAGCATTGTACAAGTAACTAAAAGGGTTTTATAACATAAAACCTGGGTGTTTTGTGCAACTGGGAAAGTATTTTTCAAACAACCAACAGGGACAAAAGTTTCGATTTGAAGGGAATTGTTGTTCCACACAGGACATAAAAATTAAAGCGCTAAAAGCCTTAAAAAGTAAGTGAACCAATGCATGAATGAGAGTCCGTTAGGAATTACGCATTCTCTGGTAAAAATAGTGAAAATACATGTTTTTTAAATATTACTTCATAGTAACCATAAAATGATTAATTGCGGTTGACCAAAAACAGTATTATATCGAGACCTGTTGTTGTTGCTACAAAAACCATATTTATTGTAAGCTTTCACACCTTAATCTTTGTAATGTCACAACTTTACTTCGTTCAAGTCTTTTTTATATTAATTTCCACTGCACAATGCCACAAATACTACGGTGTTTACTCATGTCTTCCCTTGAGACATAAAAACTCTCGTGAAAGTCTTTTTTTTCTCTTCCACTAATTCGCACATAGATTATCATTGCTGAAGTGTTGCTTTGTTTTAGCCGTTTGATCTAGTTAGTTACAGTAGATCCATTTCGTCTTAAAATAATCTCAAACCTTATCTTTAATTTCAGAAATTTAACCAATCCATTTGTACAATCTACGGACTTTAACAAAATTAAGTAAACCATCATACTGAAATATACAGCTGATTGGTCATGGGTTACAAAGAACTGATTTTATAATACAAACATATCTAAGGAACAGGAAAAAACTAATTTTTCTATCAATATCCTAAAGCTGTAAAAACAGACAAAATACACATTTAAACAAACACAAGTGGATGTACAGAATGAAAATTCTATACTTAAAGCACCCGATAAAGTATGAAAACATTAACTTTGTTGCAATCGATTACGAATAGTACCACTTAAATATTCAGAGAGCTACATATTCTACCTAGCTCCACCAATATTTTGTGTGCTCTGGTAAATTTAGTTTAGTGGTAAGACGAATATATCAACACAAAATCTTTTAAAAATATGTTGCTTGATCTCATTTACAGGTTTTCTGGGACTATTGTTGAACATTAAAGATAAATAGGTTAAAATTAAATACAATGTGGGTAGCATGACAGTAACAACCACTAAACACCCTTTTTTGTCGCTAAAACTAATACCAAACAAACGAACAATTTCCGTTTATTTTTTTAATAGTCATTTTATCACTACCAAACTTGTTATATCCGAGCGAAGATCAAATCACGAGTAACTTCTGAGACATTGATTGACTAATATTATCTATATATTCTTATGGTATAACTATTCAATAATTGGATTATGTATAATTATATTTCTCTTATTATAAGCTTCATTTTGACCTATAATTTATTATTGTATGATTTACTGTTCGTAAGCTATGTTCAGTTTATTGACTACTGTCTCCCACGTTCACAACCACTTTTTGGCTTTATTGTGTACAAATGTTATTTCCTATTTTATGGTGCGTCGTGGTCTGTTTGTTTGATATATAAACCTGGTAATTCTAAAATAAATGATTCGATTCGATTCGCATAGTGGAAGCTGGTATTGGTGTTCTGGACTCAAGTGGACGGGCTAGGCGGACATCAGACCAATAAGGACGCTAAGGTGCTTATACCGGTCGAACGTTATTGGTTTGGCAGAGTGCTGAGATTGTATAATTCATATTCTGATTGGTGGATAAATCACGTGATAACTAGCCGGATATGAAGTCATGATAAAACTTATCTCTTGTGAATATATATTAATATGCAAAAAATATCTATAATTGAAAAACCAACCAACAATGAAGCTGAATGCATTTACGCAACATACCTGAATCTTTGGTGGGCTCAACAAAGACAAATTTGCATGCATTACGATAATCAGAATTCGAAGTTGGATCTCTATGACAAACTGCCTTCAACATCATTCCAGTATTTTTGAACTTTACTATAAACCCTTGGGATTCATCTTCCTGTCTGTTTTAGCATCCATAAATGATCATAAACTATTAAGTAACTCACATATTAATGAATATGCGTTTCATTCCAAATACTGTTTTATACCAATTCATAAAAGTATCTGAATCTCCAATACCCCCAGCGATTGCTATATGGTCAGTATATTTCACAAAAGAATTGGGATTCGATCCATTGTTATTTAGTACTTCCTTCAAGTCATCATTTGCACTCTGTCCCGATGTGTATCCAGGCAAAAACAATCCTTTATACTGTGACGAGTCAATAATCGTATGAAGCAAATCCCCAACACATGACTTGATTACTCCTAAAACGATTTTCCCATCATAATCAGTATAAGTAGTAGGTTCCAAAATAATGTTATCACACCCAGAAAATCGGGAAACCCTTTCACAAACTTCATACACGTCAACTACTTCTAAAGCAATGTCAAATGGTCCATCACGTTTTGTACACCAGTTACTGATTTCTGAATGGTACTTAAATGGGTGATGAACACTGGACAATGTTTGGATTTCGCTAAGCATTATTACCGATTGATTACTTTTTAGCACTAGATTTATTTCTGAACCGCATTTGAACAAACAGTGGAGCGTGAAACCGAAACCTTTTATTAGTGTTTTACAAGTCTGCCATAAACTTTTGGTACCGAATCGAACATGATGAACATTTTTTAATAAACTCATGTTTTAATTATACCTAAAACAGTAAAAGTTTTAAAAAAAACTATAACAGATGACAGACTTGCGTACAAAAAGCAATGATGTGAAGAAAAATAATGAATAAACAGTGCTATGAAGAAACGGTCATGTATTATTTTTGAGTAAACGTTAGCAATAGGGTAATGAGCATTATTTCAAAAAGATTTTAATAAATCTGAAAAAGTTCAAAACAATACCCACTCCGAGGTTTCATGCTTACTACAGTTAAACGCAAACTCCAACATCAAATTAAAACACGTCATCGATCCATTAACTATCCACTGGTTTGTGATAGACCAAACTACAGATGGACTAGCTGGAATTCGGAAGATGGTTAATGAGTATTGAAGAGCTTTGACAATATAGCTGGAATTTAATCTAAATTCGAAATATCTTCACATAATAATACACCTGAATGCACTACTATATGAGCTATATATTCACACCTATTTCATTTGATTCTATACGTTTGTCACCACAACAAGTTAAAAATATGGACAAGGTTTTGTATTACTTCTAGCCAGAACGATTTGCGATACGTCATACTTGATTCAAATCTTTATGCTGATTACTCGGTGATTCTGATAAACTAACTTCAGTGTAAATTTCATAACTAGATCCTTGTAGTGATCTGCAGATTATTTCTTTTGCAGGCCCATAGATGAGATCTTGAGCAAGCTGAGCCATGGACGGCCATTAAAAGCCTTAAAGTATATTGAGTAACTAAAAAGATTGATGAGACATATTCTGGGTTCACAGAATATATACAAAATAATACAACAATAACTCGTTTAACACTGACGAGATCAAGATAAAGACAGGAAAAACATATCAACCAGAACAAAAGTCGTTTTAGGTAGTTCGAGAATTCATATATATATTAAACCAGACAGAAAATAGGTGAAGTGAGATTGTTAAAAAAAAGCACCACAGTAGTACAACGAAACTTTCCCATACTTTTTTGTTAATTGGGATTTTTGAACGTAAACAAGAACAATAGCTTCTCTGAACCCAAAATCACCTAACGAACTGTCTTACTCTACAAATCCCGTGTTGGCAATGAAACTACATACTTTAGGTAATTTACAGCAACAAATCAAATAAAAAGGTATAGGACAGAAGCACAGATAATATGGCATTTCAAAGGCCTTCATTTTCCAACTTCGGAAAACTTTTTATACTCCAACAATACAATTTCGTGAGAGAACACCACCACAGGTAGACTGATATAACTCATATTCACAAAGTCGAATTTTCAAGCTTAGGATAAAGTTTAACTTTTCTCTGATCTCAGAACGTCTTAATGAAGCCCCTCAGGATTCGGTACTAGGACCTCTTTCCTTTTAAACTTGTAAGAATGACCTTCCTTTGCAAGTATCAATCGAGATACTCCTTTTCGCCTACTATGATAAGCTTTGGAGAGATGTTTACAACCGGGATTATAAGCTGGAACTTAGGAAAAACTAACAATACAACTTAGGCAATCACCTCTAATTGCTTCAGGTCGTAAAATATCGTTACCAACTTACGTATTGGCAACTAAGAGGTGATTTTTTAATGACTTGTAGCATCCTGAACATTTAAACACCCTTAAAGATACCTACTTAGGTCCAGTCCCGACACAAACCGGAGGATTAATACCCAGAAATTATAGGTACAATATAGAAAGATAGATTGCAGATATACCTTATGATTAGTCAAGTCCTGGAATTCGCTACCGACTGAAGTGGTCCGAACGACTTTCCAGGAGACACTCAAGATGCAACTTGATATATTCTTAAGGGCTCATGATAGCATTTTACACTAATTCAATAATACTTCTCTACTGTTTGTTTACAATACCTATGTCACTATCTGGAGCACCGCTGACCGATTGCTACTAGATACAAAAGCCTGTTTGGCAAAGGCCTTTTTCTACTCTGTCCACAACCATCTAAATAATTTTACATTAGTAAGGAGTCCACTTGAATTGATAGGAAGGGTGAATCAAAAAAGTCATAATATATATTTATGCTTCATAAACATTAGACAAGCATAACATCTTCAAATTGTCAGCCAGATAAACTAACGGGAACTTCTGAAGTAAATAAATACATGCGGACAGCTATCTGAAATGTTAAGGAAGTCCAAGGGATACAAATAAACTGGAAAATGAAAATTTTACTAATCAAATCACCTAGATTGGACATTTTACGACCTAATAACTAGGTCTTGCTACCATACGAGACCCAAGTTGGTTGAGATTAACTGTGGAAATCGACTCAGACACAGTGAGATATTTTCATAATATAGTGGCCGAGCAATAATCTTTTTTCTACAACCCAGGTGCAAATGGGAAGTAACGAACAGTCTGCTATTTCTGCCCATCGATCATTACAGGAGTTGAACAGATCACAATAAAAGCCCTGTAGAACAACATATAATAGCTAGGTTAACTTCAATCTCTCGATTTTACGTTCTAAATACATCCGCAGAGTTATCAAAAACTTGGGGGAAATCCATTTCTTTTCTTAGATTAACACCGACTCACTAACCTACTATCCTTATAACTAAAGACTGATAAAACCTCATAATTTTTAGTATGTCGGGGAAATTCCCTACTTATTGTAATCGTCACAAAAGGTTTAAACAAAAATGTTGCCAATAAATATTTGTTCACAGAACTGCAGTGCTGATCATGATCAGCAGGTCACAGAACTTCAACACGATCTAGTGCTAGGACGACCTTGAGTAGACTCTGGGCTAATTCGGATACAGGATGTGGACAAGAAACCGCATCATGGTCGTGACCCTGAGTTATTTCAAGGATGACCTTGGCGCTAGTTGAAAGTGACCAACCACAGCACGGACTGTCTTCGTGGGCTTTACAGTGCAGACAATTAGTAAAACCACACACCAATATTGTACTTCGTAGTGCTAAATTTCGATAGCTTAGACCTTAGATCACTGTCTTGTAATCAAGCAACTCCACAATCCTTAGTCCAATATCCCTTAGAACACAATAGTTAAACCCCAAAACCTCGCCCTTAATTCTTAATCTTAAGACCCCATATCCCATCTCTGAACCTTTACGTATTATCCCTAGCACTTTATTTCATGAGAAAACCGTCGTGCAATATTCTCTAAATACTCATTGTAATCAAAATCATGAAGCGCAACTACGAGGTATCTTCATGAGCGCTTTGGATCCACGCATCGGTTAGCTTAATTTTGACTGAACGCCCAAGGCCATCAATTGAGCATAGTGTCATCGAAATGATTGCTTCCTGTCCTCCAAGAGCTAAAATACTTATTTACTTTCTACATAATTGATAAGCTATGCATTTGAGTTAATTAGATATGAAATAATGACTTTTTGATATCTGAACGAACTCTAAAGAACTATGACAAACAGTCCGACGGGCTGTCATGTGACATATTAAAAACTTTCGAAGAGTTTGTCTAAGTGTATGAATAACTAGCTACTAAAAATGATAAACATAGCGGGCCTGAATACATATCTTCAGTTTCGTCATTTATAAGGGATGAAACTGAGCGATTCCTAGGATAAACATGACTTATCTCTTTAGGTAAAAATAAACGAATCAGCAGAATCGAAATTCCATGACATATCAAAACGATTTGTCGATCTAAAGATCCATTAGTATGTCCAGAGAACTATTTACATAAGCATCTAATATTATCACTAGAAATGGAAAAGGATTTCACCCAGAAAGCAGCTTTTGTAGGTAAGAACGCATATTCGTCCAATTCGTCATCATTCTAAAACAGACTTTCTTAATGTGCTAGAGAACTGTTCTCACGAACAGTGAGCCAAGCTTGACATTACTGTATTATTTAAGGATGGAAGGAAGACAGCTTAACTTCGCTTCCAGGTCTATGAATGACTGGTTTCAATATCCTTTTTTAATTACAAAGTCTGGTTATTCAAGTGATTAAAAGCTCCCACAAACATGGTTTATCGCATTACAATGACAAACGAATACAAAGCTAATCAATAAGGCTACTAAAATACGCTAACTCTCAATTCAAATGTTTTTCGGTTAGCCTTTAAGCACATAGATATCAATGAGTCCGGTCGCTTGAAGTGACAGAAAAACATAAGCTCTAACATTTATATAATCGATATCAAATGAGATATACGAAGTCCACGGTATCTCAGTAATAATGAGGTTTTATAGACTGATAGTAACCTGAAAGTTGCTGAAGTCGGATATTTATATTAGGAAGTCAGAGCATAAAAATTGACTTTATTAATTTATGATACACATTAAGGGTAAAGAAAAAACAAATCATTATAAATCTGACTGGTTGAAGAATAAGTTAACATAACAACAATCAGCTAGATTAGTCATCAGACCAATCATCATTACGTTTAGAACCTTTTTTATTCTTTCTCTTGGACTTATTTCTGTCTTTCTTCTCGACAGAAACTGAAGCTTCAGATGACTGAGTAATCCTGTTTTCATTCGACTGCGATGAAACATTTTTATCTGGAACAGTTTTCACACCTTTTCTTTCCCCAACTTCTGTTTTTACTGTTAAAGCAGAGTTTAAATTTGTGAGTCCTTTGTGACTACACTTCGTACCATCGGAAATTTCTATGGAATATTTACCCTTTATTTCGTTATGGAGAAGTGTTTCGATAGAGCCATATTTCTCAGGTTCAACAACAGCAGTCTTAAAAGTAAAACATGAAGCTTTCTTGAATACGACAAAATAAAACACACCAAATATACTAACATGCTAACAGTATGGGAATTCGAATTGATTCAGCCTTTAAGATTTAATGAATATTTGCGAAAATAGATGTAATGTAGTTTAAATCATAAACAACCCAGGACCTGAACCAAATATGCGTTAGTCCAGGTTGCCAGACTTTTCATCAGTACACCAGAGGGTCGACAGAATACTAACATCAGTGTTTGTGAAAACTAAAAATGTAGATGAATTCAAAATTGTGTTAATTTGTAAATAAAAATATCAACTAATATCGAAACATATAGAGGGCTAAAAAGTGAATACATTCCGAAATGTTGTCAGCAGTCCTGAGGCACAGATTAAGATTGTCTCACTAACTCCAATCAAGCGATTCAACCTTATAACATGATGCAGTTCTACACCCAATGATTTGAAGTATTAAAGCAAACTCGACCTGACCATCTTAGGTTTCTTGTTCTATTTTACCACAACATAAACATTTTTACATGTTGGGACAGGTAGTAAAAGACATATGTGAAATATCCCCAAAAACTCTACAGTATGACTAACCAATAAATTAAGTTTATCTAGTACATGGATAACTTTAGCATTACACACTCAGGAGGCACATTTTAACAATGCACTTAGCACATCATATACCCCGGCTTGTACAGATTCAATTAAACAGGCTATTATGCAGCGATAAGAAAATACACGAGACTACTGCACGGTATACTGTATCTTCGACAAGCAAGCAGACGTATTGCACAAGTCAAACGTATTGGAATTCGGCGAATCCATGCAAACTTTCTGCATGTATTGATTCTTCGATCACAAACCCTACACGTTCCTCTAGGTTGAGCAAAGTCAAGTGAATAATCACTCTTAAATTTTGTGCGGCAGATTCGATGACACGAGATAGATCTATAGTGTAGGATTCTAGAGTCATAGTCAACAAAATATACTATTATTTGAAGCATGACTTGAACGTTGAAGTTGCGTTTATTTTACGGCACCAGCAGGGGATGAGGTGAAGTATGATGTCAAAGCAAAAGGTAAATAAAAAACTCCAAAAGGATGTTTGTAGATAAAGTGTGCCAAAATACCGTCAAACCCAAACGGGATATACACTTTCCCGTTTCTCACACTAATGGACCTTGAGAATTGTATCGATTGTTACGTTGGTTTGGGAGGATGACTGTATATTTCAAAACATGTCTGACTGAATTCGGTCAAAAATTTCAATTTTGTGACATACTTAACGATGTACCAGCTCCACACTGTAGGAAGTGTAGTGAGCCAGTCATCACTTTTGTCAACGTATACATATAGCTAATGCTGATTTTGAAGCAGAAGAAACGAAATACCAAATTTGTGGATGAAAAAGCAAATGTATGTCAATATGAAGCGACCGATTAACCATCATGATGAAATCAAATAAACTGATTGGGTTTTGCATACTCTCCAGTTTAGGTAGCATAACGCCTTTATACCAAACTAGTAGTGTTACTTCTAAATAATAATGGTTCAAATGGTGGGAGATGGAATAGAATTTTCCTCTTAGCAGGTTTCCTCATTTAGTAGCAGTGGACCACCGATTCTTCCAGATCAGAACCCGACGACCCAAAGAGAATTGCTGATGTACTATTGTGGAATACTGTCCTGAGCCTTTAAGAACATGTCAAGTCTCTTCCTGAATGACTCCTAGGAGGCTGTTTGGACAACATCAGCCGTCAGCTAGCTTAGGAATTCGACTACTCACAAACAGTATAGGAAAGTTTATAAATATATAAAAGTAGAAGTTCGATGTCATAAGAGACGGATGATATCAGATTAGTCGATAAAGTTTATCGAAGATGATAAATCCAAACTAACCAAGTCGTAAAGTCCATCGGGTGATTCACTTTGTTGTACGATATCATTGCACAGTTGCAAAAGTCTTTCGATAACGGATTCACATGAGTCTTTCTGTATGGTAATATTCACTTCCATCATTGAAGGAGCAATTTTAAATCCAGGAGCCGACCGTAATTGCTTGATTACCTCTAAAGCCTGGGGCGATTCGAATTGCTACTCAACTTACATGCTGTTTAGCACTTTTATTAGCCTTTAGGGATATGTGACAATCTTTCATCATCTTCTCTATCATCGTGACAGTGTATGCCCGGTTGTTTTCAGGGTTTACGCATCTTTCAGACACTATTTTAGCCACATCTCTAAACAAAGCCTGTTGTCCTACAAGGCGTTCCTTTTCTGTGAGTTGTAATTCTCCATGTTCTAGTATCTAAAAACTTGGGATATTATAACGATAGCCTACTGTCTTTATTATTTGTCTTTCATCTTCTGTGCGAAAATGTACATACATTTCCTTTTTGTTAGCGAACTGACCTTTTGAGACATTCGTGAAGACACAATGAGCCTGTAAAACTTCATCTAAATTAGTTTCACTGTAGTGTAATTTGATAGTTTATAACGTACAGCTTGTCTCGCCAAGCTTGCACTTTGTTTGGGTAACATGCCAACTCGTAACGATTACCACCTTTTTTAAGGCGAACTACAGATATGTTAGTCAACCGTTTTTGGTTCGTAGGAGTAAAGAGAGCCATCAAGTAAAGTCTACACGATATCACAGTAACAGAGACTACAAACCGTCCGCGCTGAAAACAGCCGAGGTTCAGTCTTCGTTAACAAACGCATTAAATCCGTTTACTTGACTCAGTCCTTGAGGTTTCTTTGGTCAGAGTAGAGAACGTTTGTGCTCAACAAGATTTAGCAACAGTTTATCATCGATAACTCATGGGATATTACAAATATATTATTTATTTAACAATCTACCCAATACTCAATTTATTCGAAATTATCAAGTCAAACCTTGGTAATGATACCTATTGGGAAAAACAGATTAATGCGTTTTTTTCTGAATTTGTGTAGTTGTAGAGCTTTGGTCGCTGTGAAGAATTATAATTCTAGTTACGTTTTCCCAGGAAGCTGAAGGTCGAAACTATGAGGTTATAAACTCAAGAGATAGAGAAGCAATAGTTACACCAATCCTCGTTTAGTGATGAATGTATTCACAAAATAAAAATTCCTATGAGTCTTTAATAATAATACTAACCTCATTAGTTCAACTGGACACACCAATGTTGGTGGTACTCGGTCACGCATCCTCACCAGATCGCGGGTGTGTACGCCGTGCTTTACATCGCACACAATCTCTGGCCAGTTTGGATTAGTCATTTCGCGATCTATCGATATTCTGTCAAATATATCTTCGATTACCCTTGCTTTTAAGCTCTGACGTCACTGGGTCGGCACGTTTTGGCTATAAAAACTGTTACTTGACAGGGTGTTGTCAAACTCTGAATACTTGTGTCATTTTTAGGTTTAAGATCTGTTGAGAACAAAGGTGTTATGGAAAAAGCGCTGCCGAATCCTAAATATCAGTTACGTCTTTAGTGCTGGACCGAACGTGCGCTGCTACTCCAGCCGATAAACTATGAGTCTTTTCCTTATAACAATTTACACACATATATTTACTCTACGAGACATTGATTTAGTGCTTCAAGCTTTTTTCGCATGTTTATATATTCTCTCTTATCATGTCAGAAAACATATCTAAATTAATAAAATTTAAGAATCACACCCCTATATCAACTCTTCAGCAATATCCAGTTGCAGCGCTGTTCAACTGCAGAAATACTCCCACGTAAACGGAAGGTAGCTAGACAGCAAAACTTTGGTCGAGCTAGCTGCATCTGCCTACCGGAATCATGAGATCACCGGGAACCTAGGCACCCTGGTTTAATCTGTCAAAGGAAAGCTTCAAATTACACAAAGTGAAGCCACATATTTCTGTCAGGTTCACATTCCTTTTTTAATATTCATCATAATCACAGATGCTCCAAATCTTCATTGAGAAGACTGTCACGAGAAAAATTGGCCCCCTAAACCACGAGAAACGGATAAATTTAATTGACGTTGGTACCACATCAAGCATAATTAGTCTTCTGGAAGCCCGAGGAAACATCACAGTTACCCTAACCCCAAGCTTTCCATCACGACAAATCTTTCAAGAATCTTCCCCGTCGGCACTTGTTATTGGTGAGTATGAGTAGTTTGGCGACAGAGATTAGTTGTCCCAACGGCACTGGCAATGAAGTAGGCGTTCTTCCCGTGAATGCTAACGACCACCTGTAAGAACTGCTCCTCAACTTACAGGCAACAAGTGAAAAACCGATCTCCACATACGGTAAAATAGATGACTATCTTAATGTGGGTTTATGCAAAACCATTCACCGGATTTTCACGGTTACAGATGTTTCTGTGTCAATCACTGGTATAGACTTGTACAAACCTCAATCTTTTTCATGAACTCGAGAAAATGGAAGTTATTAGACCTAAATACTAAATTATCTTATATTTGAATTCATTAATCGATTTAAGCTACACCATTGTTAAAAAACTGGAAGCACTGGACGCTTGTTTCGCCCTAGTATGGAACTCTTCAGCAGTGCGTATTGAGTACTTCCAGGCTTTCGATGGTGATCTAGCTTAAATCGACGTATAAGTGTAGGGCCAGTGGAATGTCACTGAGCCCTAGCCAAATCATCCGGCAGTTGGGTCACTGATTATCGAGCAAATCATCGATCCTCTCAAGGTCAAGGATAACCAACGCGCATTAGTTAATCGTATGCCATGGACTGGCCCATGCGGCAGTGGTCTAACTTTCGCTTGTATCTACTTCAACTAATATATTTCTGTAATAACGTCCTCTGTGTTGTACAGTCTTCAAAGCATCTATGGTACCTTGATACGTCAATGGGGTAGTCCACGTAAGGTGTGACTTCAACATTAGTTAGTTTGTCACACCATTCACGTCTAACTCGAGTAGGCCTCCAATCATTTCGACATAGATCATCTACGTCGGTGATCCACATAAGTTCAACTATCAAATTATCACAATCTCCTCAAACCCCCATTTTTGTACTACGTAATCTGTCTGTGGGACTTCCTTTTTTGGATTTACGTCATTCTCGATCACGGCCAAACATACTGTCGATCCACACTTCCAACAGATAGGCTAAGCACCCCGTGCAATGCAAAACACGACCAGAGCTAATGTGCGTAACTAGAGGTTTTACACAACGCATCCTGAATAGATAAGATTGACCAGAAATTAATCCAATCATATGGTAGACCTAAGGATTATATGTCACATAACAATCCATTGACATCTTCTTTGGGTATGATCACCAAAATGGGTAACGGTGATTCACCTCCACCCGGCAATTATGGACGGAAATCACTGCTGGTTGTTACCCTCGGACGCAAAATTTTAATGACAACAGCCCAATCCTTGATAGTTAATAACCGAACGCAACTTCATTGGTAATCGATAACCAGAGTTAAACCACAGGCTTTAAAAGGCTTGAGAAGTTCTCAGAACAATTAAATTACTACTGTGTGTGAGGTATTTTTCCAGTTCTATCCTTTTACCTCCCTTACTATATTTTACAGCAAATTGGTTGCATTTCCAGTTTTAAGAGTCAAAATTATTCTGGACTGATCAAAAATATCTGAATATAAAGTTTAATGCTTCGTCTCCAATATAATATAACGAATGGCTTGATATATATTTTTTCTCTTTCAGTTATACTACGATAAAACGTTAATGCGATTATGAGACTAATCTTGTTGATTAGATGCAGGATTCACGAATCAAAATAGAGAATCAGATGGACGCTAGATAACATTTTATTAAACATATTTACAAGCAGATACGCTCAGTAAGTACGGATTAGAGAGCAATGAGAGGAGAGGAAATTACGTGTTTAATGGTATGCAGGTTAAGTGCCTGTTTGTTCACCATCAATAACCAGTCATATTTCATTTTGACTACCACACATCGTATGCACTTGAATGTATGGCAATGATTTAATAACTTCGCAAAACACTAACAGTCAAACAGTGGGTTGCAGAGTGCGACATGTTATAATATCCAATCCCTCGTTCACCTGCACCAGTCTGCTAACCCTACAGGATCCTTCCACAGACAGAGTAAGAAGCAGTGTTGGGGTAGTTTTATTTTAATAAGACATCAAGTTGTGCCACAGGAGGTGAGGTTAAAAGTTCGTTGAAACTTCTACGAATCTTCGCTACATTATCCGTCAGTCTTAGCCCATTCCTATCTCGGAACACTTTGATGAACCTTGAATTAAGCACCAAACTTCTTCGAGGATAAAAACAACTGGTTCCGTCGATCTGGCACATGTGGCAGTTCTATTCTCCTTATAGTTAGATAGAAATTTTGTGTGGTGAGATTATATTCTTGCTATGCAAACGGAATATTCTAGATATCACGATAGGGTAAACCGATCCGTTCGGTTATGTAACCGCTTAACTTTTATGTATGATAACATAAATAAAACAGTCACATAACCAGCGTTCAAATAGAGTAGGGGTGAAGACTTTTGACCGAAAAAAATATTTGGATTGCATGAGTTATAGTTATGCGTTGAGAGGATGAAAAAGCATTTAAGGAAATCCTCATTCAATTCCACAGGGAATTCAGCAACAGGTTGAAAGTAATTTTATTATTACATGGCCCTCTGAAACTATAACCCTCCTAAATAGTCGTTGTTGTGTTTGGTAAGCTACTTGAGAGAAGACAAACGTGGTAATTCAAATAAAATAGTCTTTCACTGAGTCAAAAACTATCGAATAACATGTGACTGGTCAGGAAAGCATTTGCCTCAGTAAACTCCCAAAGATATACTATTGCATTTTGGATTCATGTATGGGCTCACTGGATATACGGTGACTCGTTGTCTATCACAAATTTGTCAGAACGCTACTGTAAGGAAATATACGACACTATACTTAATAAGTGTAGATATGGATTATGCAGAATACCTGAACAGATGATTTCACTAGACTATGCCGTCGCTGATTTGTTCGGTAAAGTTCGAACAAGTGACTCTGATACATATTAAACAAATGAATCGATAAAAAACGTGAAATTAGTTACTTGCAAAGAAGAGGTGTACCCCTGACAGCGCAACGTCATTCTTCAGCTAACGATCAAATGAAACGATTCCTCAAATGTAGACAACATTGGGTATGAAGATATCATTAGACGACAAGAACTGACTGGGACAAACGAACGAAAACAGTGACAGATGTGCAAGTTTATATCTCTTCAATGAAATAATTACAGGCGACAGCATATTTCGTCACAAAAACATGCATATAGCTACAAGGATCTCAAAGTATCCCATAACAGAGAACTAAATGGATCATATTTGCTTACCTAAAAAATTCAGAAGGACAATGGAAGACATGATAACCAGGTAACGATCCGACATGGTTTCAAATCATCACCTGGTTGTGATCAAGATTAGTCTGAAGTTTGAGAAATACTGGAAAACTGGAGAAATATCATTGAAAAGTTTCGATACAACCTTCCTGAGAGATACCTACAAACTCAACCAATCAGCGACAGTTCCAAGCCTTACAAGATATATTCAAAAAGGTGAGAATATTATAGAGGACAACTGGAAAGGGACCAAACAAGCGCTGCCAGGAAGTGCTGGTCCACAAGAAGCATCATCATAAGGAATAAATCCATACTGATACCCTGAACAAGATTCAAGAAAAGAAGGGCAAGAAGACAGCAAATATCAACGGCCTAGAAGAAGCATGGGCAGCTAAGGTAGAGACCAAACACACAGCAAGCAAGAGTGTAAAAAGAGGAATTAATTCAGACAAGCAGAAATACGTGGAACACTCAGCAACGATAGCAGAAACAACTTCAGGATAAAGAAATAAGGGGCAACTGTAAGGCACAACGAAGGAACCGGCTGGGAAATATAGTAAGCAAGAGAGATTAGTCAAGGACAAAGAAGGAAATTCAATCACTGAGATTTAAGGACAGAGGAGAAAATGCGTAAAACACTTTAAGGAACCCTTGAGTAGGCCAGTTCCAATGAACCTATTGCAAAACGAAGCAGCTGTAGAGGTAAATAAATCCTCAAAATAAATACCTCTGTAAGTCTCCAACATTGGATGCTGACCACATTAGTTTTAGTGGACTCACCTAGCTGAACGAGCTCGGTCATGCATCCGCGCCAAATCACGAGTGGCAACACCGTGCACAGCATACCCTGCAATCGCTAGTCAGTCTAGATCAGTCGATCCTCAATATATTGATGGCCTGTTAAATATATCTCCGAACCTCCTCGCTTCTGTCTTTTGATTTCACTTCACGGGTACGCTTCATATTAGGTGTTAGTGGTTAAAGCGTTGTCAAGCCTCAAATACCTGTGGCATCTTCAGCATTCTATTCCGGTGATATATCGATCTGTGAAAACGAAGCACCACTGATAGTTTCTTCGTTGCTCCACGTCAACGAAAACTCTCACTGACTTTTATTCAGTTCAAGTTATAGGTAAAGCGTGGTATCTAGTGATAATGAGTGCAAACGCAGAGAGAACGCTACTTGCTTGCATGTCGTAAGTTATTTATGGTTGCCTCCAAGCATGCTGGAATACTTTTGTTAAGCAAACAACAATGTTTTTATGTGCACATTTCTATGAATTTATTGTTTCTACATATTTAGACATATATATGAGGATGTTGCACGTTTTTTTTATCGAACAAGACTTTAGTTTTGAGAGAGTTATGAAGGTATAGGTGCATTAAGCAGTACATTCAAACGGGATACTTGACATATATTTCTTTGTTTTACCGTTATTAGTTGCTTGGATTAAGTTCCGATCTGTTCGTAACGATAAGATTATTTATTTTTTTAGATTTGAGGATATGTTGGCTCATATGACACTATACGCAACTGCTACTGCAGCGTTACCATACAAGTGAGGGAAATGAAATATCAATAACGAAAATAATTGCCAGCGTTTCTATGTTAGAGAAGCATAGTTTATGAAATCCAAATTGATGGCACTTTCTACTGAGTCCTACAAAGAAAGACTGTTACCTAGTAGATGTGTAGCGGTTATCATGGCTGCCTTCCAAGCAGTCGATCCGGGTTCGACTCTCGGCGGTCGCCGGCGATTTCGACTGGCCAAGCTAAAACTTTTCTCATTGTCATTTCACAGAACTTGAGGCGACTTGATTACAGATTTCAAATTGCTTAGTGATAAATTTGCACATGATATGCTTGCATTTTTCTTGTCTTCCAAAACAGAGAATTTACGAGGACACTCCAAAAAAGTTTACAAGTCCACAACAAATTACTTGTCAGCTGATTATCAACTTTCCCATCGAATCATCAACGAGTAGAATTCATTACCTCAGCATGTGGTTTAGGCTTCATCCGTCGATTCTTTCAAAAGAAAGTTGAATCAACTGAGGGACCACCATTGCCAGGACTAACAAAGGCCATCAAGCTTCCTGTCCTTCCCAAACTGAAACTGATGTTCGCTGAAATTGTTGGAGATTTCTTCTGAGGTTGTTTCACTTATATCTTTTGATAATAGCCAGTATTTTTATTAAAATACAACACGTTTCTCACTTATCAAGAACATCCTACGAACCAGATAGTGCTCAAGGTTGTTTGTATACACGAATTTAATTTAGTTCAAGGTCTCTTGGTGCCAAGAGGTAGGCGGGTGTGCGAGATTACTACGTTTATACTATTAAGAGAATGTATTTTCACAATGCTTCTGCCATACATTGCTTTTTGAAACTTGAAATAGTTTTCACAATGTATTTAGATAACCCACTAATTGATTTCATGTGAAGACGCAGTTCAGTAAATTATAATCCAAGTGACGTCGAATAAACACTTCCGTTATTGTGAAATTAATTATCTCTGAGCCCTAAATCACAATCTACGGTTATTGGTTGAGCGAAGAAATTCACAACACAACTAATAAAGGGGAAAAGGCGTTCGAAAGTAAAGGTCAGATAATGTGGATTTTCCCATTTATGACGCTGAATTGTTTATTTTTCGCCTATATACACGCCAACTTATCTAATTTTGCTTCCACTTTTAAAACATCTCTGGCATAACCCAAAATATCTGTGTTCGGCTTTATTCCCACAACACACCACACGGAAACTGCAATCCACGTAGAAATGGTATATTTTTAAGGGAATTTATTGAAAAGAAAAAGCGTAATATTGTACAACACTATGGGTGGTTGGCAGATGCTAGAGCATCAGTCGTCATGTTTTATAATTTTAATTACCAAGTCTTATTGTAATTTGGAAAGACCTAGATCTTTGTAGATCTACAAAGGAAGAACAGGTGATGTATTAATAACAAGGCACTTGTACTTTGTTGTACGTGCACTGAAAATCAAACACACTTTCCCAACAATTAGTGAAAGTTCCCCATGCAAGTAAGAAAGTAAGCACATGTTTAAGAAAATCTTTATTGAAAGCTAAGTTGAACATGATAAATACTCCACGGATTACTTCTTTTCGTCACGCTTGTTCGGCTATTAAGTATAAAAATAATCTTATAAATTCTGGAGTGTAAAGAACAGAAAATGTCAAAACGATATCTGAATGACATACTTTGACACAACTAGCTACTTGAAGCTTCTCTTACTGTTATGTTCCTTAACACTCGACTGTACTTATAGAGTAGTAAAGAAAAGTTATCACTTTAAATTAGCACACACGTGTTCTTGTTTCCTTCGGTTACGCTTTTGTAATATGTCTCTCACGTCGTGAAAATAACCTTGCGTTGCGATATCGTACAGTTTCGCAGGGTCTTTTTCGTTGATAGATGGTGACAAAAATCGACTGGTTAATGCACTTGACGTTTAAATAGTGGATATAGGTTACTTCGTATGCAGTCGTAAAACCCCCACTTCTGAAGTCCTCGTTGTGATGAAGTGCCAAGTGGCGTGAAAGGACTGGCAACTTCACGTGTCATGATGTACAAAATATATCGCATTGAGGTTTTTAAGATCATCATTGTCATCATCCATTAACCTCGTTAACATGGCCATTTGTAATATAAACAAATGACCAAATTAATGTCGTTGATTACAAATCTGTCCCTTATTTCTTTCTGCTACAAACAAGCGTACAACATCTCCAGTTCCTCTACAGATGACAAAGGGACCTGTTGACTTGATAGTCCTCAATCGAATTGCCGCGGATGTTCGCGGTCACCGGACTTCGACAGTAGCAGAAATACCTGACGATATGTTCTGCAGCACTATATCTAAAAAAACTTCACTTGGTCGTACAGGTGACTTATTCTGCCGCTAACGCACTACCTACACGTCTAGATTCCAACGTTTATGGTGACGTATTTCAGTCAGTCAGTCAGTAACAACGTAGAACTTCGTACGTACGTACATCAGTTCGAGTTGCCACACCACCTTAACACAGAGATGCAGTTGTCGATCCAAATCCTGTAGTGGTAGAGGTAGCAAGAGTGTAAGCAGTGATCGGGAAGATTAGGGTTTGAAGATGTTATTTAAAGAGTATAATTCAGTGAAATAAATTATACGTATTTAATTGTGTCGAATTACTTAACTAACATTTACAAAGCAAAGAAACCTACTTGGAAATCGGTGAGGCAACACTGTCGCACAACCGAAGTTTGGAATATTGGACGTGGCTATTTCCAACCTGCATCTCGGCCACATCCATGTCAACGGAGTTGTAAATAAACTCTTTACGCTTCAATACAGCTTTACGAAATGTTGGTAAGATTATTGTACCAGCCTCTTCGGCTTCTTAGTGTTTAGTGACAAGGTGTTTTCGTCCGCTAAAATATTTATACGGTAAACATCAAATTTTTTGATGGAGACTAACAAATCCTTTGCAGACTGGAGACTATCTATAGTAAATGATAGTTTCTATGTTTGTTACTCACCGCATTCGTGAATGACGTTACATTTCAGGACTGACCAATTGTCATCCGGTTGGTCACAGTTTTTCAGGTGGATATCAACAAACTCCGTTGGATGGAGACAATGTTCGTTACCACTAATCCAGTGTTTAGCTGCAATCACAAGCTGCTTCTTGCTTGGTGCGTCTATAATGACGTATTGTTTGTTAGCGGGCTAAATATTACATAAGAGGTAATGAAATGGTTTATGGTCATAACTTTAGCACAAATGAAACAAAATACATTCATATAAAAGTATGTAACAATGGAACAACAACTAAGTAATGATTACAATTAAAGGCAATACATTTACAATCAATATCCTTAACCGATACCCATGTGTGTTCATTGCTAACTAGTGAGCACATAAATATTCCTATATTACTAGAAGCGATGGGATTTTCGAAGTAATTGCGTGGGTCTGTGAAAAACTTAAATTTCAGTAGTCCATTCTCCCCTATATCAGTGACTAAACCAGGTTTTCTGTGTACTACTACAACATTATCCGGCTTAAATGAAGTTATTTTACTATTCTTATACATAATTACTTGTTTATGTGAGTCCTCCTTACCGGTTATTGGGGTAGTATTAGCCAAAGTGCTCACTCGAAGCCTATCGCAGAAAGACGTTTTTCTCCGCATAACTCTGAGCTGCTTGCTTTGCAACAGCATACCCGCTATGCACTGATTTCTAAATTTGTCTCATATAAGACTCGAATGGGAATGCTGAAAAACTATCTAAGGTCCATGTGCACGAACATCGTCAGGAAGGTGCTGTAACAAATGCACATTATAAACTAAGTTTTCAGACCCATAACACCATTCATATTTTGTAAGAAAGTTCTTTAAATCCGTTCTGACGGATTCTATAACGCTATTATGTAATTTAGGATGTGCAAGCAAATAAACAGATAACTCTAAACGCTTGAAATTAAGATTCAACGGTTGAGGCAAAGTTCTTTGCAAAGAACTCGTAATATGCAGGAATGGCTTGAAAGCACTCACTAATTGTCTTCTAAGTCTTCGGATTCACGATCAATCCACGCATTTTGTTACTCTCAATTATCACTTCTTTTAGCACTGTGTTTATCAAGAGTTAATCTTTCCTATTAACATCAGTACTACTATTATAACCCCTACCGTTTATGTTGTTGGTGTTATTTTGTTGCAATCCGGTTCAGCTAATCGAACTGGTACACCCTTGTACCTATCTCTATGTTGATTTTAACTAACTGGTTTATTGTACTTGATATAAAATGTACAAATGTATTAAAAGCTTTAAGGGATACATTTGCATTTTAGATGGATTATTACATCCTGGATATGGAATGCCGAAGACAAAGGAAAACGTTTTTCACAATCTATGCACTGGAATTATGAAATCACAAGTTAAAAATTTCGAATCAGTTTTGTTGTCTCCGGACCAAACAAAGACCATTCCCACAACACTATCCTTTCATCATATATCATGTAATGTAAAAACCCAGATCTTCTCATGTAGTTCCCCAAGTTCCATAAAAGTCCTTTCAGACCTTAGGTAAGAGTTCCGTTATTTTTAAGAGGTTGAGTATCCAATATCAGAGTTAACTTCGGAACTTATTCTACCTAACATCTTGTATGAACTTTTGCGAAGCGAGTTACGGGTAATAACTTTATTAGCGCTTAACTGGATATTTGTCCACAGTCACACTAACAACTGGTTTGCTTAATCTTATTAAGTTTTAACTATTCCTATAAGCGATTTTTGTAGATACTTTTTAATGTCTCAACTGCACGAAGTTAATATTCAGGAAGAACTTAGAGATTATATACTATCATAGAATCATTTGACGATCATACAGCTTAATTATGGCAATTGTTTTGGGATGGTTTTCGAAGATTAAAGAATTGAGCTTCCTGTACTTTGCTCTCAACCGTCCTTTGATAGAAATTCTCTCAGTAGGTCTGGTTGTTACAAGGTAGTAGCTGAATTCTCAAACGCATTGCGTGTATGTATGGTTATTTTTTAAATATAAATATTCATTTATTGACTTTATAATACGCTGAGCAAAGCAGCGGAAATCAGTTGAGGTACGTTGGGATGTGAAATAATCGTGCTTGGATTGTATCCGTCAATTCTTCATTTAAATTTGCGTAATGCGGTGACTGAAATCAGAAGATAGTACTCAAATATTATCTTTGACCCTGACTACACTATAGCTTCTCTATTTTTCTTGTGTTACCAGTGGTATTGTGTTTCTTGTTTTTATTTGACAGATAATAATAAGTAGTTTACGATTAATATGTATGACTGATGTAGTCCTTACTCCCGAATACCCTGGCACGGCGGAGGGTCCACTCTCCCTCCCGAAGTGCTCTCACATGGCCACGCGTAAACAGCCACTGCCTGCTCGTTGTGAGGGTGTTGTTTACGAATTTGAGAGGACGAAAAGCGAATGTCCGGAGCTTTAACCGGGTTGATGGATATGGAGGATTCAACTAGGAAAGTTAGAAAACCCAATGGAAAAACCAATGGTGCACATGGGCTCCAGAATCCTGAGAAAACAAATGGCACCTATTTTTGGTCACTGGCTACCATGGAACTGCATTTCCTGACGTTTCTCCACTGCACTGTGGATTAGACCTTCAGGTCAAAGGCTCCGGGTGTGGTCCCCTAAGAAAACCACCTGCTTCAGTTTTGGCAATCGGGCAGTATCACAGCTCTCACACAAATCAATGATAACTGCTACTGGCCTCATTATTATGGTGTTGCGCATATGTATTTGGTGCCCATTTGTACCAATGTTTATGTGTTCAAATAAATAAATTCGGTGTAGTTCAAAATTTCGGGTTTCTTTGCCAGCTTTTTATAAAAAATCATTTTTTTAATTTCTATCTAGTGGGTTTATGCCACCAGGAATGAACGCAATAATCGGACCGACAGGATGTGGAAAGTCTACGTGAGTTCCATGAAAACTTTAAAATCTAATGATATCGCACACGTGAATTTACTTATTTCATATATGAATTGGTTGAAGCTAGACATCAGCACCGTTGGATGTCGGCTCATTGGTTTAGAGGTTAAGCGTTCGCGCGTGAGACTGATAGGTCCGGGGTTCGCATCTCGCGAGGCAGGATCGTGGATGCTCACTGTTGAGGGTCTTCATACTGGGACGAAACGTATGTCCAGTGCTTCCAGGTTTTCCATGGTGGTCTAGCTTCAATTGACTCATGGATTCAACCATTATATTTCATATGTATTCATAATATTTGGAAGAAAAATTACTATTTCAAACCATGTCACATATACTTATTTGAGTTCTCGATTAGTTATGCATTAACTTTGGAATAAATATAGGATGTATTAAGAACCTATGAACATGTACGGGGTTTTAAAGATGCACTTACTCGTTGAATATTTTGGGTTTGTTGTTTTAACTATGAACTTTATTATGCATCTACCGAAAAAATCACTTTACAACTTTAAACGCCAGTGGCTCATTTTAAGTTGCCACAGGGTTTCATAGTGGAGGATCTCTTTAATAAGCATTGGTTTGTTGTACAGTTGAGATTTAAGAACCAATGTGCTTGTCATTTGAGTCCACAATGATTAAACTGATGTATAACAGATAAGCGAACACTAGTTTCTCATCTTTTATTCCTCCTACATCGACTTTCAACCCTAAACTTCCTCCTTCGGCTTCTTCCTTAAGTGTCACCATAGCCAACGATTCTAGTGCTCAAAACTCTGTCCCAGGTCTACTGAAACCTCGCTCCAAACTACACATTGGAGCTTTCAACGTACGCACTCTATGTCAAATCGGTCAGCAGGCTTCCTTGGCTAAAACCCTAGAGTCTCTTTCTATTGATGTATGCTGTGTCTCCGAAACACGCATACAGGATTCCAGTGTGGTCATTCACTTGACCTCACCTCGGCAAAACGGAGAGCCAACGAGATAAACCCTACGTGTATCTGGTGACCCGATGGCCAGTTCTCGTGGACTGGCAGGCGTAGGCATAGCACTAAGCATGAGGGCTGAACAAGCACTGCTAGAGTGGATGCCTGTCAACAGTCGTCTACGTGCTGTTCGGCTAAACGGCTCCGTAAGAACTCGGAAGGATAGGGACACACGTCGTTGCCTTTTTGTCGTTTCTGCCTACGCTCCCACTGACTGCAGCTCAGATGATGTGAAAGATGAATTTTACAGAAAGATTTCTGAACTTCTTCAGAAAGCTAAACGCTCAGACATAGTACTCGTAGGGGGTGACTTTAATGCTCAGATAGGTAGCTTAAACCAAACAGAAAAGCATTTAGGTGGATATTTTAGCATTCCGGCACAGCGAACAGATAATGGTGACCGTCTGCTGCAACTGTGCTCAGACAATCGCTTATTTTTAGCAAACACAAATTTTAAGCATAAGGAGAGACATCGTCTAACATGGCGACCCCCTACACCAAACCAACGATGGACTCAAATAGACCATATTGCCATCAGTCATCGTTGGAGAGGGTCGGTAGAAGATTGTCGCTCATTCTGGAGTAGCTGCTTGGACTCCGACCACGCCCTAATACGGGCACGCATCTGCTTGCGTCTCACCGGACGCAAAAAAGCCACATTAAAAAGACCCATTAGAACTGAGTTGAGTAACGAGAAAACCAAAAATAGGTTCCAAGAACAACTGAGTTCACACTTAGGTAGTTCTGAAGACGAGGCTGACCCAGATGTTGCTTGGAAAGACATACAAGCAGCTGTGGAAGCAGCAGTAACATCTATTAGCGACTTAAACCACAGAGTTACAAAGAACCAGTGGATTTCTTCAAAGTCTATCACACTGATGGATTCTCGCAAACTCGTCCCATCAGGTTCCGAACATGATGAAGAGCGACAACAAATCAGATCTAGGTTAGGAAAAAGTTTAAGAAACGACCGTGAGCAGTGGTGGGCAACGAAAGCAAAAGAGATTGAAAAGGCGGCGACTATAGAGAACACAAGACAGCTTTACAGACTAATAAAATAAACTGGAATTAATAAGTCAAGTGTAAGTGAGATTATATCGGAAAAAGACGATACACTCATCTGCTCCCAGTCCAGACGTTTAGAACGATGGGCGGAACATTTCAGAGAACAATTCAGCTGGCCTTCAGCTACTCTACAACTACCCTACATTCCCAGACAGCGTGAATGGAACATTGAAGTAGGTCCCCCAACTATAGCAGAAGTTCAAAAGGCTATAGATAATCTGAAACGAGGAAGGGCAGCTGGTCCAGATGGACTGGCTCCAGAAGTCTTTAAGGATGGTGGTCCAATTTCAGCTATTAGGTTGACTAATATTTTAGCTAAGATCTGGGAGTTAGACGTTATTCCATCTGACTGGTCACAATCACTTATCGTCCCAATATATAAGAAAGGATCAAAATCATCATGTGACAACCACAGAGGGATTAGTTTAACTAATATAATATCTAAAATACTAGCCTCGATAATTATCAAACGCCTAACTAAGACTCGTGAACTGCAAACACGAGAAAACCAAGCTGGCTTCAGACCTGGTCGTGGCTGCATCGACCACATATTCACCATTCGTAAGCTACTAGTATTTGACCACAGATGCCTTAGAAATATTGCTGGCGTCTGCTGGGATAACCGGGTAAGTAATAGTGAGGTTAGACGCAGGGTATTAGGGAATGATGGTAAATCAGTTGATGAGGTTATGCATCTTCATCGACTGAGATGGTTGGACCACGTGTTACGTATGCCTGAACACCGATTACCACGACGTGCAATGCTATCCGGTATTGCAAATGGTTGGAAGAAAGTTAGGGGCGGCCAAACCAAAACGTGGCATCAGTGCTTGAAGTCAGTAACTTCTAGTCTGAGCCATGTTGGTAGATGCAGACTACTTGGTTGGGGTCCGCGTGACTATCGTAACCAATGATTGGAGACTCTTGGTGACATGGCTCAGAATCGATCACAATGGCGTCGGTGTATACACTCCCTGTCTTCCCTTAAACTAAGAGATTAAAAGCGCTTCATATATTTCTTTCTACGAACCAATTCTTTCTTCTTGTACTATATCTCTATATGCAATCTTTCTCTTATATATTACCACCTTTTACCTAGCCACTGTTATGAATCCGGTGTTCATCTTGTTGTGCTGATGCGGTATGGCAACCCGGACCGATGCACATATGTGCCTGGTCCTACGTTGTAGCTGACTGACTGACTGACTGCATTCGATTTAGTGTAAAACCACACTTTACAAAATGTCATCACCTGAAAGTTCTTTGTTAGTCTGTCTTGGCCATTAAGTTATTGAGTTTGACTTTATTTACCAAGATTTTTTATAAAGATTCTCTCGTCATGTGTATCTACTATTCCTCATTTTATTTATTCACATCGTAACTGACCACACTAGAAATGGTTTCTTACTTGAGCCCAAGGTAGCTGTCAACAGATTAGTTTCGTACTCATCTGAAAATTGGTTCGACCCCAATGGACCGAGGACCTTACTAAACGCACATGGATTTTTAAGTTTCAAAGAAAAGTTGAGCAGCTTCAAAGGTTTACATATTTTCGGTTGATTGGTTAACTGATGACAAAAGGAAACATTTAAAGGTCCAGATTTCTGAACTTTAAATGTTAAGGTCTTTGTAAGTTATTTTTGAGTTAGACACTACTTGGAGTGATTCTTCTCTTCCTATTTTAATTAGCATTAGGCTTCATGAAACTTGCTTCAATGTCAAAATTTTCTATCTATTATCAAGGCTCCTAGATGTGTTGGCTGGACGTAAAAATCCTTCACAACTTACTGGATATGTTTTGTTGAATGGCAAACTTTTACCAAGCAGTGTTCGACGACGACTTTGTGGATATGTTGTTCAGGTAAAGATAGAGTGTATTGAGTACTCTGTAATAAAAAGTGCGTTTTAGTAATTATTTTTACAAACTAGACTGGGTGTAGCATATCTAGAAACCTTCTAAATTTTTCTGTTTAACTTTCCACCCACAAATTTTGTTTGTCACACAATTTTTCATACCGACGCTTCAGTTATTATCAACCTTTAAACTCGGTTTTTTTAGCAATTAAACGTTGAAATTAAATTTTCTTTCAATTTAACCAACCCATTTACCAGATTCTTAGGTATGACCGGCACTCTATATGTGATGGATAACAATACTACACAGACATTCAAGTTGCAGTAGGTGGAAGCACTGTTCGATTCTATGACTTAATGACAGAGAGTCGATTGCCTTAATCGCTAAGTCACTGCTCCTGTCGGAAGATATTAAGCGTTAAATTACTTATATCATATTCATTTTTCTGTAAAAGTAACCTTTCCAATATATCGCATAAAAATATCGATTTTTTGTACTGTGTTCTTGTGGTTCCCACCAAAGACTCAAACGAACATTGTTTTTTAAAACATAGTCTTTATAATCATCTGATGCTTAATTAGAGCTTGAAAACAGGTTCTGGGCATGATCGTGAGCTTATTGACCGGGCTTCTTTCAGAGTTATATACTGAGATGCTTGCAAAACAAGTAAATCACTGCTAAAAGCTCTTTACTAGAGCGTTCGTTTTTCGGAAACATCTCATAGCCAAACATGATTTGACTTGACTGCATCAAATTGTTCATAATTATACCATTCATTCAGTGAATCAGTCGTCTAGTCACAACGCAGAACCTGTTACGTACGTATGTCGGTTCAAGTTACTACACCCTATCGGCACAGAGATATCAAAATTATCAGGCCAAATCCCAGAGTTGTTGAGATAGTAACAATGTGAGTGGTGATTGGAAAGATTAGACATCGAAGATGCGATTCAACAAAATGTAAATTAATGAAATAAAGACACAGAAAGGTTATGAGTGATTCAAGAGATAAAGATTTGGTGGAAGGCGAAAAATGGACACACTTGTGCCATTAAGAACGATTTCGAGCTATTTTATTGCAAGTCTCTAATCATTGATTACGATAATCACAAGGACCTCAACCAGGCAGTCTACACTTATTAGCATGACTCAGTCAAGTTGTCAATGACTTCATGGACTGATGCCATATTTTGGTGCTTTCACCCCCAGCATTTTTTCCAGCTTACTCCACTAGAACACATCGCTCATCGAGGTAGGCGGTGGTTGGGTATATGTCACACGTGTCCTAACCACTTCAGTTAATTAATTTTTACTACCTTATCAATAGATTTGTCATCCTTACTTAGTACACCATTCGTAAACCATATATAGCTTACTCGGTGGTCCAAAGGTGCACAAGGAAGACACCTATGACTGAATACTAGTTAATTACGAATATTCTCAATTTTCGTACACCGGTTGGCAGATGGATATTTCAACTACACCACGAATGACGCAAGTTGTCTAAGGCTAATTGAGCCTTCTGAATCTATGCTGAGATTCCGACAAACACCAGAACATCAGGATTAATAAGACTCCCAATATAACTGAAGTGGTGGACATGCTCAACTACTTCACACCTTGTCGTTAATTAAGGTGCTGACGCAAGCCATTTTTGAAGCAGCATTTTGCATTTGGAAAGAGAGAATCTCATCCCAAACATGCTTGCATTGTTGCTTAAGGTAGTCAGAAGACTGCGTTTTGTTAGCGTCTTAACCGAACAGAAATATATCATCCGGGTATTCTAAGTCAACAAGTTAATCTACTGATGAAAAACCAATTTCTGAAAAATCAGACGATAAAAAGTGTTATATCTACAAGCACGTCTATAACAAAGTTAGGTAAAAATGGAGAAAGCGGACAACCCCGACGAATACCACTTGAAGTAAACAATTATGATTGCAGTTTTCCATAAGCTTCGATTCGACTGGTCGTATTCGAGTAGAGGGATTTTACAAAGTTAGTGTACTTGTTTGCTACGCCTTTCAGTGACAGATACTGCCACAGAACGTCACTATCAAGAGAGCCGAATATCGCCTTAAGATCAAGGAATACAGATATGGTCAGACGTCAAAAGGTGTTTCTATGTTCCAGAATCTGCTGGAAATTAAATGTTTAGTCTATGCATCCACGTTCAGGTTTGAAACCAGCCCGGTTTTCTCGGGTTTGCTCTTTACAAGTTCTGATTAAGTATACAATTATTGTTGAAAATAATGTTTTAGACGCCGTATTAGTTAAACTGATTCCTATGTGATTGTCACAAGAGGATTTTTGTCGTTTCTTATAAACTGGGATGACCAGCGATGGAGACCAGTCAGATAGGATTACGTTCGGTTTCTAGATTTTAGCTAAGATCTTAGTTAATTCAGTTGCTGAAACTGAACCATCATCCTTAGAAGTCTCAGGGGTTAATCCATCAGACTCTTTTTCTCTCTCGCTTTAGATTGCCTATAACCCATTCAACCTCGCTAAGAGTTGGAGGACTTCAGTTTGTCATTCAGGTTGCTTGGAGATAGTGGGTAACTGAAATGTGGCTGTAGGCTAGATGAACTGCTTCTAAAGTGTCTTTCCTACCGGTCCAATCTCCTGGATTGAGAGTGAATAATGGTCCCATCTTTTTCCGAGATAGTCTCACTAATAGCTGTATTTTTAATGCCAGTTTTCTCGATAAGTCTGATCAGCTGTGTGCTGTTACTTATTGCTGCTACCTTTCGCTTCTCTTCTGATTTCGCTACCCACCACTGCTCACGATCATTGTGTAGGATTTTTATCAGCCTACGTTTAAGCTTCCCCCAGTCCTCATCGTGTTTGTAGCTAGACTTGATGAGTTTCCGAGCATCTTTCAGTTCAGTAGGCGTCGCTGAAATCCATTGGTTCTTCTCAACCTTTCGTTTTAAGTTACTAGTAAATATCATTACTGTTTCAACAACTTTTTGGACATCATTTCAAGCTATCTCGAGCTGGTTTCGCTTTTATTATTGAACAACTTTAGTTGTTCCTGAAATGTATCCTTAAATTTTTCATCATAACTTGAACTGTAAAGGATTTTCTTGCTATGGCTTGTTTACATACATTAAGACTTAAACAAATACTTGTCTGAGCTACATCATAATCTGGGTCAAAACACATGCTCCTGAATTATCAGTAATCTATCGAGCCTCTCCAAAGATAGCTGATGACATTAGGGTCTGTTTGAGTCCTTCATTGAATCGATTGTGTGGTTCACTACGTCAGATGATGTCTTACCTTATGTTTAATGTGGGTGCCTACTAGAAGTATACGGTTATTTGAGCGTAGTTGCAGCAGATAATCGCTATTATCTGTTTGCTAAGCCGTGATACTGTATGACCAACCTAATTGGCTTTCGGTTAGGCTTAGTCTACCTACGTGAGCATTACAATCACTTGTCACTACTACTATACCTAAGTGTTTAGATATCGAAGGAGGTTGGACAGTTTACCATTTAACTCATCTTTAACTTCATCCAAGATGCAATCAGATAAGTGGCGGTTGTCACTTCTCGGTTCCCTACTCCATAGAAGAATATTTCTTTTTGAGAGAACTGGAAAGGAATTTGGGTTGGCAGAAGTTTTAGTAACCTGGGAGTATGGATACAGTGCCCAATAGACAACTTCTTGAGGTCCATCACGCATGGCCTTTTCATAGAGGTTTTGATGTGTTAGCTCCGCATCTTAAAGTGTTTTACCTCTGAAGAAAAAAAATCCGTGGGTTAATTTGAGGTATGGCATTTTTAGGGTCGGTTTTTTCTAATCTCTTCCTTTGTGGGAAGGCAACATCACTGCAGTTTCTGATTGTCCGAAGGGAACACCTTATTGCTGTCAAGTTCTGTTGAGTAATTACGATAGGCAAGCCCAATCACCAGGTCACGGTAGTTGCTCCGGTCACGAAGCACATATATAATAATATAAAAGGGCACCAAAACAAATATGCCCCAGACAATAAAAATGAGATTGTAGAAAGATAGACAAAGGAATGTAAACATGATATTGTTTAATTTGATGGTCGGTAAATAGGTGTGTATTTACCATGGTTAATTGGCCTATATGAAGGGGTTTGTTGAGTATATTAAGACGGTGAATGACAAAATCTCAGCGTGGATAAAATAAAAATCCTGGTTTTTATCGGCTTCTGTTCCCTGTCACACAGGAAACACTTTCTTCTGCTTATCTGACATAATAGTTCTCTGTGTTTTTTTGCTTAGAGATTGTGAAATGTCGCTTTCGGTAGTAAAATGCACATATGGTTTGTAATTATCTGATCATAGGTGTTATTAATGTATTATAATGACTGAATTAAAGTCCTAGGTTGTGGTAAACCGATAGATGAGATTGTGAAATTTCATCAAGTGATTTGACTGAATTATGAGTCTTATATTTAGAGCCACCAACCACCGCATTCCACTGTATCGACTATCATAAGTGGGCTGATAAAAAGATGGGGACAGCGAGACGAAAACAGCTTAGGTACATTGGGTTGTTAAGTTCAGGTTTGATCCATCTAGGTTGATACAAACATTTTGGTTTCAATCCATGAAACGATGGTCACACATTCTAAGTAATGTGGCTGAAAATCAATAATTAATGCACATATTTATACAATCTTTTTATGATCCTCTATATTTTGATCGTAGTATTATTTCGTTTCTTTTTTTTGGGTCACACTCTCAGAATTGCTATTTCCATGCAAGCTGAATATTTCCCCCCACATTTACTTAACCTGGAATTGCCAGGTTAGAGGTTTAGACTCTTCAACTTAAGGTTTTTCAAACGATGGGTATTTCTCACTCATATCAAAACTAATCTAATCTTACAGCATAAAAATGTTTTTTTTACTAGACTGCTCTAATATTAACTAATAAATCATGCTGTAAAGTTCTATAAGAAGTTATATATCACAACTTGAGTATTGTGCATCCAACTAACAGTTTTGTCTAAACTACTGTCGATTGATAAAACTATAAGCCTATATCGACTGAGGCGGTTCACAAATGCTTTGTGCCGTCACTTTCTCAGGCCTCGAGTGCTGACCAGTATAGGGGTAAGTTATGCAAAAGCTAGGGGTATGGCACAAGATATAAAGCTGTTGACTATCGGCTTCCTGTTCGGGGCCCGCGTAATACACATTACCACCTATTAAAAACGTTGAGTGGTATGGCGTAACATAGGTCGCATCAATTCATTTGGATTTATTTTCATCTTCCTGATAACGTGACCCAATATATACTAGTCCTAAATTCTACGCTGATGATAATTGATGAACTTACATTTTTCAACAAAAAAATCTCTGGCGAAATTTCGAGATATATATGTGTGTTCGTGGTTTCTTGATGCACTGTCTTATTTTGCCTCAGGAAAATATAGTCATGGAAACACTTACAATCCGAGAGAACATTACTTTTTCTGCTACACTACGATTACCTCGTTGTACTGCTGCACGTGAAAGAGACGAAAAAGTGTCCAGTGTCATTGAAGAACTTGGTCTTACCTCTGTTGCTGATCGGATAGTAAGTTCTCTGAATATATATGATGTATTCTTTGATTGTGGGAAATGGCATCTGTAAGTTGAATTATTCTTTATGCGGTGTTTGTGGAGATCGTTGAATTTTGTTGAGATTACGAACAGACTTACACTAGATAACCACTCAAAACCAAGAGAAATTGAACAGCTGTTTCATTCTAGTATGCGGCTCAGAAGTGCGAATGTATGACTCACTCATACTCAGGACCTTCAATTCTCTCACCAAGCTTCTAACTTCTAGACCACTGAAGTGGTATTTAATGTCTTGCATTTCGCGAATTGATTTAAGTTAAACATGTAAATCCTCAAACATTAACTCAGTGGTCCATTGGTTAAATGCTCGGCAGGAGGTTTGGAGGTCCTGAGTTTGGTCACTGATGGAGTCGTGGATGTTTACTGCCTAGGATTCTCACACCAGGACGAAACAACTGTCCAGTGTGTCCTGGTTTTCAATAACAGTTTAATTTAGTTATATACGTAATTCCAATAACATTAAGAAATTTCGACAAACCCCCTTTACTGATGGTTATCATGTGCTTACAGGTGAGCATTAATTCTCGGAATCATTGTGAGAAGCAGTCTTCACTGGAGTTCAACCGCGTCGGGTGTTAGTCAGTTACCCATTGAAGACAATGGTAAATGGTTGGACGATATCTCCCATTGTACTTTACTTGGTGTCTGTTATTCAAGCATTGTACAGAAAATATGTATTTGGATCTTTATATCCATACCAAACAAATTCAATCATCCAAATAAATCTGCTAAATATAATGAAAATTTGTTTTGTAGTTATTTTATTTTCCTCCTTCCATTCAAACTGCCAACGGGCTTGTGAACTTTTAAATTTTAACACTTGTCTGATACATGTCATTTATATTGATTTATCTCTTGAGCATATTTTCCAATCAGTTGAATAAAAAGGTATTTCTTCATGAACTATGAATACCGGAGTAACGAGTCTTCAAAGAATACTTACTATATATTCCTAGTAATACTACTGTTTTTTATTATTACTACTACTCTTCCCATTACCAAAGAAAAGTATGTAAAATAAAATATCAACGTTACATCCTCTACTAAAGCTGAAGGTCAAGAAATTCTGACCTCACCTTCATATGGCCATAAATTTACAGTCTCTATCATAGATTTCCTCACAGCCTTCAAGTTGTCGGGGTATTCCTATGATGCAATAAGATGAAATTGACTGTCCGTTGGGTAAATTGGGGTTAATGAGTGCATATGATCCACTTAAGGGGTACATAACAATGTTACTTAGTTATAGAGACAAAAATTGTATGACCTTGAGAGAAAGATATATTAACAGCTAACTATACCTTTGACCCTGTTTACATTTGTCTCTTATGTGCACATGTGTATTGGATACAATCATTGGATACAACCAATCTAGGTCACATGTACTTAAACATTAAACATTAAATCGTCGTAGCGTTTGTATTTGGGAAAGTAAATAATCTTTTTTATAACTTTGGTGGATTCTTGAATTTTTTGGTTGTCGATATCGTAATAATAAGATAAGCAGCAGTCAGTACCTAGGGCATTAATAATTTTTAATGCCGAAGAATGTGCTCGTGATAAGAAATGAGTCAACAACTCAGATTTACATTTTCACCTTAATTATCTATCGTAATGTCATCTAGAATGTCTATATTCGTATCCCCATTAAAATATGTAGAAGAAAAATTAATTACTTTACACTGGTATATATATATCTTACCGTTACAAAAATTCAGATTGGAACTCAATCAACCTGTGGTGTTTCTGGGGGTGAACGTAAACGTACATGTATCGGTATTGAGTTAGTGAATGATCCTTTAGTTCTCTATCTGGATGAACCTACAACAGGTTTAGATTCATACACTGCTGGGACAGTAATTCAAACACTTAGACGGTAGGTAAATATAGTTTTTTCTCTTGAAAATATTGTCACTAAAACAATATCTGTAATTCGCATGAGTAAACTTCTATTTCGGATTAAAAATTTGATACACTGTGTAATGAGCTAATGTCAAGCGACTCATTCTTATTATTTTCAGTGAATAAAATCACTTCATATGTGGTTGTTTATTCAAAAACTTGGAACTTGTAAACACCACGAATCACTTGGAATGTTTGTGTTAGTGCGATATGGATTAGATCAAAGCATTATCGTACAGAATTGTGTTGTGGCACACTGATCGGCCATTTCATAACCAATTAGCGCTAGCGGATATTTGAAGCAGAATCTAGAATTTTCTTATGTGAAGTATACCAAACGTCTTTCTTATTGTGATTTATAATGCCGCCCAACCTTGTTATTTGGAATGTAATTACATTCCTGTCCAATTGTGTTCTGATTTGGGGACTTGTCAAATGAAGTAGTGTCCAAGATTACCGAGCAATAAGAATCTCTGGGTGGTAGTAAGAGAAATCATAACACTGGGTTTTCTGAAATCCCAAATTGATTCCCCTTTGACCAACGTTCTTGCTTAATGACTGTATGACTATTTTTATCTCTATTATATATAGGCCATTAGCGGGTTATCCGTGAATAAGGCAACAAACATACTGCTCTATGGAATTATTTCAACAAGATTACTGACCTTCCCAAAATTGTTTCGTAAAGAAACTTTTTCTTGTGTCAATCATAAGAAAATAAAATATCTTTTCCAGTAATGATTATCCAACTATATTTCCAAGTTATATGGATTAAAGTAACAAAGCTTGCATTATTAGATAAAACTTAGCATTTAGCACATACTCGAAGTTTATGTACTAAATGTTATGTGTACGTGTTGTTTATAAATATTATATTTGAACTTCTCATTATAACTAGTTCTTCATGATGCTGCTCAAACATCAAGTATGTGTTTGTGTAATTAGCTTCAGATCATGATTTTTCTATGGATGCGGTGCAATATGATTCAGTCAACAAATGTAGGTTTTTATTCTCGTCTTTGAGCCGCACTTTGGTGAAGGGCTATTTGTACTATGAAGCTGCCCAAACTAAGGTCAATGGGGTGGCAGAGTTCGAAACCGAGACGTGCTGGTTGGAAGCGAAATGTTCCAACCAATAAACCATTACTCCTTGTCTATGTGAAAGCTGGTGATATTACTTGGTTGCTTGAACTAAATTTCCTAGAACGGAAAATGAAACCCCTATTGTCTGGATGAAAGTTGACTACTTCAACTTATAAACCATTCCTCAAAAATAAACTGATATTTATTTAGACTTGTTTATCGTTATTGAGGTGTTGAGATTTTTATATTTTATTGCATTTTAATTGTGTATTCTCGAACAAGTGTTTTATTTAGTATTGCATTTGATAGGATTTGTCGGCCTAAATTAGTACAATAATGGTTGATAAAATATTTTGTGACTTTTTAAATAATATGCAGTTTTATGAGAAAATTATATTTGAAATAATCTCAGCGATTGAAGTTTAAATAATTCCAACGTTTCGTTCAGTTAATTTTGTGGACTTCTTCAGGGTAATAATCAAAGAAATATATTTCAATAATGCAATGAGAAGATAAAGTTTCTCAGAATTATGCGATACATTTCGAGCAATCTGATTACACATATACTTGTTAAGACATTTTTCTATGAAAATTTATACTGAGGGTAGCAGCTTCAATCCTGGCAACACCGCTTAGCGTGATGTTCTCACACTCACTAATCCAACGCAAACTACCGGACATTTGGAAGCTGGCTCACATCACATCAATTTTCAATGGAGGTCGACGCAGCCAAACTTCAAGCTACCGACCTTCAAAAATTATGGAGTCCTTAATATTAGACGATATACACGACTATTTATTATCTTTAAACTTTTTTTTCATCCCAACAGCACGGTTTCAGAAAACATCACTCCTGTATAACCAACTTGCTGACTGCGGTGGGCAAATGGACAACCATCCTTGATCGCAAGGGAAAGGTTGACGTCATTCACCTTGACTTCTCAAAAGCTTTTGATAGGGTCAGCCATATATGTCTTATCAATGAGCTCTAACCATTAAGTATCAAATCATCTCTAATTGACTGGCTCACTTCATATCTAAAAATCGACGTTTTAATGTTAGGATTAACTTCTCTTTCTCTCAGGCTATGGAATGTCCTAGTGGGTTCCCCCAGATTTCAGTACTAAAACCTCTTCTTCTCTTGATTTATATAAACGATCTTCCACAACAGGTATCGTCTGACATTACTTTTTGCTAATGATGTGAAACTTTGGAGAGATACACAACCAAGAGGATATACTGGCACTTCAGGAGGATCTGACTCGACTTCAAAGTTAGACAGACGACAACGGACTTACCTTTAACACTTCAAAGTGTAAAATAGTCCATCTGAGACATGCTGCAGACTACAGTTACAACTTGGGAAACTCCTCTCTAGAAGTATCCCAAGTTGAAAAAGATTTAGGAGTACTGGTACCCTACGATTTGAAGTCTTACGCTGGCTGTGACAAAAATGCCTTTCGATCAAACCTTGCACTGATAACATTGAAGCGCATTTTCGACCAGAAATGCAAATTCTTAATAACATTTGTTGAAAAACTCATTCATCTGGTACATATTTCTACTTATTTTATCATGAAATTTATCTGAAACTGTTGCTTTGCTAATCCTAAATACTTCCGGAGTGGGTGGCTTATTGTTCAAAGTCTGACCTCCAGCATATATGTCCCAGGTTTGAACCCAACCCTATTTATTTGCCTGGGAAGCGGAGTAGTATCATTAGCTGTCACACTTAGAATGTGGCTCATGCTCAAGTATCTGGTGAATGAGTTAGTTTACATTTTCAGATATTCTACTCGTGAAAAATGTCTTAATCATGTAAAGTTTTGTCTTAAATTCTAACACTTAAACACTGTAGAATATCATTTTTTTAAAAATTCGTTTTTCAGATTAGCAGACTCTGGTCGGACAATTGTTTTTTCAATCCATCAACCAAAATATTCAATTTATCGTCGATTTGATCGACTTACTATAATTTCCAATGGACAAATGATTTACCATGGACCTGGTGGTCAAAAGCCAATTCTTCATTTTGAAAATTGTGGTCAGTAGTAAGAATAAGGAGAAGAAATTTCTTATGTTCGGTATATTGATTACTTCTAATTAGCCTTACCGATGATTTTCCTTATTTTCATTCTAAAGTGTGCAACTATATTGCATACAAGTGTAAATGTTTATTGCGGTGCAAACATAGATTGTCACGGTTAGCTTCATTCTTTTATGGATTATTTTTTCATCAATCACTGAAGTGTGGTTTCCAAGAAACGAATGTGTAAATGTATAATTCAAGTTGATTGTTCACATCATTAAATACATTCTTCCCATCTTTCAATTCGTCTCGTCACGAACGTCCTTGTTTACCAGTCAACTTCCCTACCATAAGTAATTATGTAATTCAGTAACTAAGCATGAAATTTCCTATTCAATCATGGGCTGCACGTTTTTAAGTGCGAAAGCGGGTAGGACTACCCGGCTCCTCAAACTAAATCAAATGGGGCAAAGTTTGAAGGTCGAATGGTTTAACTCCCACTACTAGTCATTATCTTAGGAAAATAAAAATTTTCATCACGAAAGAGATGGAAAGGCATTGGAAACTGAAGAGCAACAAATACTTATCTCATCTTAGAATTTGGACATCTTAAGTCATGTGGCCACACATAGAATCGAGTATATAACCTTCAGACTAGTAATTCAACTTTATTACATTGCTGAGATATTCCTCCTCCACCTCTATTCTAAACGATGTTTTATGAGTCCATTTATATCCTGTTGTTTTTTCACGTAAACAATTTAGAAGTAACCTACAGACTTACTTATTGTATTGCATATTCAAATAAATCTTTTTTAACCACCGTTTAACTGTCTTATTGACATTTTACTTTGAAGTTCCTATTAAATCTTTCCCTGACTTACAACGTACCTCATACTAAGTATCTATTATTAGGCTAATTTTCACGTGTTTTGTCGTATAACTTCTAGATATTGGGCGTTTTTTAATTGTTTGAAAAATGTCTAAATAACCCACAGATTGATTGTTAATGAATTGTTACAGTTAAGTGAAGAATAAACGTTGGTTTTTTTTACAGATATGTTGTAATCTCTTCTATGGAGTCCGAAACATTGTCTTGGTCGACATGCTATTTTTACAATTAAAAAAAAACGCGAAATCACTAGTGCTATCATTGTGAATTTGTTATGCCCGCCAATCAAAAGCAGAGGATTATCAATCGGATCAAGGACGCATAAAGCACGTGCGAGCAGCCTAGAGCCCTGAATGGTCCTGCCTCCCGCCTAGCCCAGCCAGTTAAGGCCAGAACACCAGTCTCAGCCTCTGCAATATGAATTATTATATTCCAAACATACTCTGTTTATATACCAATCAAACAGACCACAACGTACCAACGAAATATGAAACAACGTTTGTGCATGAATTAGGCAGATGTGGCTGTGAATGAGGGAGGTAGTAATTAATATACTGGGTAGAACTCAAGAATGGTAAAACATATAACAATAGTTTATGGGTCAAAATAAAGCTTATAATAAGAGGAATATGAGTATGCATAGTTTAGTTACCTAATAATTGTACAAAAGAAATATACATTTAGTATTGATTCATCAATAGATCCTAAAAGTTACCATTCATTATTCTTGTCGAGACATAACAGAATTACAGAATGTCCTTTTAATATTATTCACTCAACTTTTTCTCCGTTTCTTCCCTTAAATCATAATTATGTCATACTATTTTGTGAAATATGTATTTATATCTTGAAGCTCTGACGTTCTCATGTATGTATGTATATTTTTCCTATATACTGAACACAGACTTAGAGTAGGTCTTGGATCCAATTTCCAAACACTTGTTTTTTTCAAATCTTTCACAATCTACATCGATTTAAGTAACTGGGTGGTAGTGGTATTAGTATTACTACTCTCCGTACAAAATGTTGGACTGAAAAATGGGTTCCAACCAAAAAAGCTTGTTATATATTGGATCACCAAATTTTATCTAATCATAGCTTAACTACTTTTTATTTAAAGGTTATTTCATTGAAGGTCATAATAATCCAGCAGATTTCTTCATGGATATTTTGCATGGAGAATTTGATATTGATGCAACAGTTGTACAACAAGAGAATATTCCAGGTAATGTGAACATGAAGTAGAGAATAATCATCTGATTTATCGTTCATGTATTTACTAAAATGCAAATGACTCACTAAATTCTACCTTTAATTATAAACTAGTCGTTTTGATTATATTATTGTATAACTTGATCCTTATTTATTTATTCATTTTAAAGCATTGTGTGTTCCATATGATTATCTCGGTAGTACATTTAATTGCAAGTTTTTGATGAGGTTAGATTGTAGCTAACAGTCAGACGCCGTGGTAAATGGTGAAACCCACTTAATAGTATTCAGGATGATATCATTGGTTGTATATTACCTATAGCTATTGATTAGTTATAATGTAGTATTGAGTGCTATCTTATATCATTTATCAACAATACAATAGCATCTAGTAGTTAAGCGTTTTTTAAAAAATCTCTTTCAAACACCACTCGTGAAACTTATAGGTGAACATTTTTTTCCCTTGAATTTGTCAATAATAAACTTATCGGGCTAATTGGAATATTAAATCTCGATATAAATGGATTTTTGGTCTATTTTATTGATCATGCAGTAATTTCTTTTGATGTTTACTTTGTACAATGATCCTTTGCATATGTCAATTGATATATTCTGTGCAGCTTCCTCATTTAGTCTTGTCGATGTTATCAAGTTTCGGGGTCAAAGAGAAAATAATTGTTATGGGAAATTCTCCTTGTTGGCGAGATAAACTGACCGTACTGTTTGCTTTTCAATCACAGTCACTTTAAGACTAAAAAAGTTATTTAACTATTAACTCTTATTTTACTCCTGCTAAAAAGATAGTTCACCCATGCTTTTGTGATTCAGGTTTTATGGTTTATACTAGAATTTACCTAATGTCGATGTAGTCTACCTGTCTGTTTTAGAGAGTTGTATTAAGTGTCTGAAATGTGATAGCATATTGAATATTTTATTTTCTTACTTAAATCATCTCGATTTCGTAAATTGCTTTAAATCTACTGAGATAGACTGAATTTCAAGAATTTCACTTTCAATTAACCTTTTCAAGGTCGTTTCCTGTTTTAATGAAAAATTGGTAAATTTTGAATGCATAGAGAACATAATGAGTTGGTGTGTTCTATTGAAACTCAATCTGTTAATGGTTATGAATGAAAATTTCAAACTGTTGAACACGTTAAGTACATAAATAAAAATAATATATTTGTAATATCCCAATGAGTAGAAAATTGGATTTTCTGACGTTTCGTGACTTAGTGTAAGTCACTTCTTCAGAGAATAATTTTTATTTGGTTATTTATTCTCTGAAGAAGTGACTTACACTAAGTCACGAAACGTCAGAAAATCCAATTTTCTACTCATTGGGATATTACAAATATATTATTTTTATTTATAACAATGAACCAAATGCTCAATTTATTCGAAATTATCAAATCAAACCTTGGTAATGACACCTACGTTAAATACATTTTGAAAACTCAAAATATTGACCTGAAAATAGCTAATATTTAAGCTTAGTTTCACTGTTTACCTTCAGTAACAATTTGGAATGAAAAGCCTTTATGGTAATTAAATTAAGCAGTTTATTCCTCATTCTTTTTCATTATCTAAGTATCTTATTTTCCCATACTGATACGACTTTGTGCTATCCAAGGAGAAAAACTATAAGACTAGTCATTCAGATTGACATTATAATGTATTATGTTTATTGTGTTCTTAAATCATTCTAGGTACAAGTGAAAAAGATGTTTGTAAAACCATCCGTGAAACGGTTTGTCGTAGGCTTATTGCGTGCTGGCTAGAGTCTACACTGTGGAGAGAGTAAGTGTGTTAATATATGTAGGAAGAAATGTGCGTTTGAATTAAAGACCTCTTTTTGTCATGTTGACCTATTGACAGATAATTCCAATTTAAACATTAAAAATTGAAACACGAAGTTCAGAGAAGGGATCTCTTCTCAACGAATTTATTATCAAGTTGCACAATCGTATATATAACAACATAGATTTAGGTTTGCAGACGGAACACTTGAAAGAACTACTGTTACGTTGTCCAGTTCAATTTCAACAGTGGAATATATTGACAAAGAGATGGGATCGCAATGAGGTCTCCATTGGGTCCAATTTTAGCAGACTGCTTTATGGCGAAACTAGAAAACGACCAACTCAGTTCAATGATTAATCGACTTCACCTATACGTAAGATATATGGACGACAAAACTGTCGTTTGTGACGATAGTATCGAATTTGAGGATATCTTACACATCTTTAAATCATGCCACCCTTCCATAGACTTCACGTTAGAAAGTGAGAGAGACCAATCAATCTCTATTCTCGATGTACGTCTGATGAGAAGGAGTAATGGTTCCTTAAAAAGACCCATCTATAGAAAACAAACATGGAATGACCAGCTAACCAACTTCTATAGCTGGGTTCCTTCAAATAGAAAAAGAAATTTCATCCACTCTCTATTTCATCGAATACATCGGATATGCAGTGTGCAATACATTGACGAAGATTTCGCATTCCTCAGGAAAACCTTGACGAAAAATGACTACCCGGACCGTTTCATAGAGAAGAATATGAAGAGAAGTAGTTGCGACAGGAAATCTTGTTTCATCCCAAATAAAAACCTCTATATAAGTCTGGAATTTAAAGGGGATTGAACATCTGACGTAATCAAAAATCGTCTAATGACAGCGATTAATGCGGCAAAATTGTGAATAACCTTCCCTAGTAAGAACTTATTTTCTGTATCCAAAAAAAGATAAGCTTCCGCGTCTGGTCGCCTTCATGTGCATTTACCAGTTCACCTGCTCTTATGGAGCAAAGTACATTGGCCGTAGCCAGCGCTCGCTTTCAAATTGGATACGGGAACATGTCCCAGTTTGGTTCTACAAGGGTGAAAGAAAAGCAGTTAGGAGTTCTGTACTTGAACACCTAATCGACTGTAATCATTCTACGGATCGACAATTTAATTTTAAGGTTGTTTATATGATTCGTTCAAATCTACCTAGATTTCTTCTTATCCAACTCCTAAAAATAGCCAAAACTCTTATCATCCACGAGCTCAAACCAGAACGATGCGTACAAAAGAAGTACGTCTTATTGTTATCGTTACTTTGGCCTTTATTATTATTATTATTATTATTATTATTATTATTATTATTATTATTATTGCATTCCCTTTTACTTGTCTTATATTCTCTTTTTTTTATCCATAAATACTCATCATATCACCTTATTTATTTTTACACCTCTATGACCTTTGATTATTTTAACAAAAACATTTTAATCATCTTATTATATTCACTAAATCTATTGTTATTATTCGTATTACGTAATCTAGTATTATAATCTTCTATCCTCCATCTTGGTTATTCGTGTTCATATTTCCTCACGAAATTAGTACTTTAACAAAAAATTTTCATATATATGTACGATTGTACAGCTTGATAATATATTGACGTATTTCAACTGTCTTCCTCACGCTACCATTGCTTTATTCTCTAGAGAAGTGGCTTGCATTGAGTTATGAAACGTCAGAAAACTCAATTATTCTACTCATTAGAACATTACAACTATATTGTATCATAATTGAACATTATCACAGCTTAAGTTTCTTTGCAAACTATTAATGATAAACTATCTCTAATTCATGTGATCTATTATCGTAAAATGAGCAGTTATATATATACTATAAATGTTTTAGTCTTTTTGAATGTCGTTTTCTAATCCATTCTGTTGTCTGTGGAAAAAAATTTCAACACGGCACCTTAACTTAAACCCTTCAAAATGTTCGTATATGGTAGAATGTGTTGAGAAGAAATGATTAAAAACTGTCACAAAGTAATTTTAAACAGAATTGTATTGAAATACATACATTGAAAATGAAGGGAATTCATCACTGGTTTGTATCAATTTTGAACCGTCTATATTTGAACTCTCACCATCATTCACTCTGACTGAGTAGTTCATATTATTTTCGTGTAATTGTGAACAGAAAATTATGTTCAAGTGATACAATGCTCAAGACAGGCCTAACAATCAGATTTTAGTTGATTGGGAAATGATTGCCCTAAAGACTAATTACTTACATTTTGTCATGCTTATTTTGTGTTGACACTGTATAAATGTCCCATTTTATTTCATAAAAAGCACAAATATCCTTGCGTCTATATCAAGAGAGCTTTTATACAAACTTTACTACTCAATATTGTTTTCGGGCAGGGGAGAATAATTTAGGAGCAGTGTTATTCATTTAATTTTAGTCGGAGTTTTGAATAATTAACTTAGTACACAAACGTATAATAAAAATATTATTTGGTCAATAATAACGTATCGCTATGTTACACTGAATAAATACTCATGAAATTATGTTTTACAACAACGTTGAAGTGCATATATTTTCACACAACGTACGTACTGCCAATTCTTAATGTCATGGATTGGTTCCGTTGTTTAATTTGACCGCTCATTCTATCCTTATCTTTGTTCCACCTACAATAGTTTCACTCATCAAGATATGCGTTACTGAATCAAGCTACCTAAAAAAGTAACCAGTCTTTTCAGACAATATTTATATACATCAATACATCCTTTATTGTACAATTATTTCCCTTGAAATCATATCATACAGCTAAATGATCTAAGAGATTTGTAGTACATCATCTTTTGAACATAAATTGCTTTGGCGAATCTTGTTTTGTACTTTGATAAATATTGACTTTTACACTTTTACCAATGCATCTATGTAACATATGCATTTTTTAATCACAGAACGTAGATAAACAGAGACTAACCAATCATCACAAAGTGACCTTCATATTCACTATGCTTTTAATTAAAAATTTATTTAAAAGAATGTTGTGTTTGAAGGTTACTTTAAAAACTATGCAATGTTGAGTTGTTTTCTTTAAGTTGGAGAATAGTTAGTACATTTTAATGTAACACTAAGATGATTGTGAAATATATTTTCAAGTGATAGTAACACGTGAAAAGTATTTCTGAAATGATTGGTTAAAAAAATCAATATAGGAATTCTTACGAAGTTCATTTGTTGATGTACTTACGGCACACTAATCAGTTGGTAGTTAGTTTTATGAAATAGCTTTCAGTACGATTGTATATTAAGTAATTTACATAACTAATATGATGAAATATTAGTATCATAAGCTCAGTGACAGTTTTATTTACTCAAGTTTTTTTTCAGTTAGAATTATAAACACTCGTTTACTAGGTGTGATCTGGCTTACTACAAATCATGTGTAATATCCAGTTACTTTGATCTGCTTAACATTTCATTAGTTCAGGTAGTACTCACCACAGACTTCATAGTTCTATATTAGGGTACATAGTATTCAGTGATTTACGGTTTAATTTCTCTGACAAGAATCAAAGCGACTCAACTGTGTCACATAATTTATTTTTATAAGGAGAACAGTTAACGTCTGAATGGTTCAATAGTAAGTCTTCTTACTCTCTTTAATACTTAATATCTTCAAGGAATTATCGCGCAGAAGAAGTGCAAGTGACACTTTGATAAATGATGATACAATACATTTTTTCCGGGGATTTCACTGAATTCACTCAGTATTTCCACACAACTGCCTTTATCATTTTGTTCATAAAGTGCTGATGGATTAGACACGTAAAACTCAAAGGTTTGATGAAATTTGTATCAGTGGTTGTCAACTTACCAAACTTACAGTAAATGCCTTCATTAGTTTTGTTCACATGATGATCTGATCAGAATTACAAAATCTAATAAACAGTGATTAATATTTCTTTTTGCACGAACAAAAATACATCTGAAACTAATCGCTGTTCAAAAATATATGTTGTTACAATCTCTCGAATTTTCCGATTTTTGAGTATAATTTAGTCATTTGTACGTAAAGCTCGAAACTAAATACAAGAAGTAGGATTGAAGGAAAAACCATACTATAAATAAACGTTTTGTTTGATGTAATGATCTAATGATACTATTGAACTATACTGATTTAAATGAGGAAAATTGTCTCATCGATTGAGCGGTGTTTATACTTTTTGTCTAGTAATTAAGAGTTATATGTACAAATCATTTAGTTAAAGTTGATTCAATTTCAATATATTGTGTATTGTGAATTCACAAATCTCATCCTATCATGTTTGTGATAGTTCCAAGGAATTCCACGAGATTATTTAAAGTTTGAATTTGTAAGTCCTCAGGTTATTTCAGATTTTCATAGCAACGACTAAATCTTTATCACAAGCTGTTCATATGTCCAGTTTTTTACTCTATGTCAGGAGACTGACATATCGAAAAAAAATTAAAGGAATAAAAATTCTACCAACATTCAATTAATGCTATGTAAAAACTTTAATCAAATAAACAACAGATAGATAAGCAATATTAGAAGAAATATAATCAGTGGGCGTATTGCGAAATAACAATAGGAAGATACAAATAAACAACACCAAATCTTGAAGTTATTTTCAAAACTGCCGAATAAGAACTATTTTGACTGCTTTACCATTATAGTACACCAAATAAAATCCAGTAGTATTCACTTAAAGGAAGTCGCAAACATATCAGCTTTAATGTTTGTCTTCATGAATTCCTCTATGTTGATTTTTCCCGTTTTAGATGCAAAGTATTTCTGGCAGAATGTAGTAAGAATTTTTATCAGAATAGATTAAGTCAATTGAAGCAGGAAAATCTATATAAAAATCAAAAATACAATTCAGCGACGACAAGAAAAACAACAACGGCAATCACTAAACATATTCAGCATAAACAAACGAGATTCAGCAAACAAGACAAACAGTAATGATATATTTTTTTAATGCAATAATCATTGGTATATTTATATATAACTTTTGCTACTTCCAAATTTATAAATTTGGCTTTGAATTACACTTCATCACGTAAGGTGTAGGCGATACTAGTGTATTATCCATGAATAGCTAGATAAGGCGGGATTGGAACTGAAGATCTACCCTTTGAACACTTAGTGCTTAAAACCAATAAGGTATGATATCTTATATAAGTATAGTCTTAATAGTACATGATGAATACTGCTGAGTGACTTGCGTTATTACGAAATCATCGTTAGTTGAAGCCGAGTTGAGTAATCTAACTACAAGATTTCACTGTTAAAGAGGTTTTTCTTTTGCTTCACGTATCCTTAAGATACTCACCTAACATTTCATTATATTGACTTTCAAACCATGTATTCTCATTCCATTCCAGTTCAGGCCGATATAGACTTTTCATATATTACTGCTTGGATAAAAAAACGTCTAGTCGACCGACTCAGTTCTATGTGGAGTTTTAATAAATAGTTTTGACTTCATACGTGGAACATCATAAAAATTGTATTTGTGGAGCTTTTGTAAATATTCCTTTTATCTGTCACTGAAGAATTCTCTTTAAATGACGTTTTTTATGGATGAATGTTTCCATATCTGGTACATGCAACAGATTCACCACACTCCAACAGAAAATTAACTACATCTATGGTTCGATTATCTTGTATTGTTTAAAAAAATCGGAGGTCAAGTTGATTCAGTTTGTGTTTTTCTTTCTGTGTCACTGAATCCTCTTTTTTCTATCTACATAACGTTCCTTTTTTTAATTTTCATCGTTTTAGGCTTGATTGCGAATTTGTACAACCAGGCAATTATTTATCAACAATAAATAAGGAAATTGAAAAATTTGATGAATTATGGGCGTTGAGTCGTTCTCTTTGTACTACTGATACGAATCATGAAGATGATGATGACAATAATATTCACTACCAGAATGTTGATTTTCAACAGGATAATTTGTATTCTGCACCAATGAATAATAATAATAATTTCTTTTATTATAATACAACTGTAAAAAGTCAGAAATTAGATAACTGTTTTTCTTGTAAATGCAAAAAACGATCATCCAATTATCAACAATGCTCAACTACATTCTGTTATCAATTGTTTACACTTAATTGGCGATCATATTTAAGTATGAAAAGGTATGTACCATATGCAATCACAATCCTTTCTTTTTTTCTGAAATAATCCTACTGTGATGTGTGCTACTTATATTGACATAAGTAGTATATGATGTTAGTCGTGAACAGAATGTCTGACGGCAGAGAGATAAGAGAATCGAACAGTAAAGAATGGAACAGGGTTCAATTTGTATGAGAATGTAAGAACAATGAAGCCTGGGTCATTTTGAGACAATTGGTGAACATTTTGCAAATTAAGCATTTACTTTATGGTTGTTAGATTTTATTAACAAGTTCTGTAGTTTTGCGTTGAGTGCGTTCGATTGTTCCTCATTGGTGTTCGTGTTCACTACACTATCAGTGTTTTTTTCAAAAAAAAGATACCAACGAATCCTACTAATAAGTATGTTTCAATACGGTTCAAACTTGTGTTTTTCTAAGTTTAATTTTCACTGTACCGGTTAAAATAAGTATACCTTTGTTTATCAAAACGACTAATTTATTATACAGTTGGAAAAACTAATAAGATATGTATTTAAAAATGGTACAAATTAAGAGATGGAAATTATTTAGTACTTGGTAATTTCGTAATATATATTTCCATATTAAGTGCGGTTTTCAAGTTAAACAGATCACTTGAAACGTTTAAAGGATAGATCGTAAATACTTCACGCTATGGCTTGTTATTGTACCAGGTTACTCAAACCTATATGATGGAATTTAGATTCTCTAAATTTCATTGACTCAAAGATTCACTATCACTTGTGACTTACAAAAAGCAATCTAAAATAAACTGATTAGACTTCATGATATTGCAAACGTCAGCAGCTGGAAACGTCATATGGTGTAATTATAATTTAGTCCTAGGTTATTGTCATGGAGATTCTAAGGTAATTTCAAAAATGTTAACGCTAGACTGAAGTTACTAATTTAATCACTCTAAGAGTGCAGGCACCAAATCTTAACCGAATTGGTATAAAGCAATAAAAAATACTGCAGCAAAATAACTTAATTCTTTTACTGAATTTAGTCTCTACTAAATGCATAAGATGAAGGTAAAATAGTGATTGTGAATTACTCATCAAAGAAAAATAGTTCGAAGTCCAAAATGTGAATAATTTGGTGCCAACTCAGTAATCAAAAAATTAAACGCTCATTTCCAGTTCTGGGTTCTATACTCAACAGACTCGTTGGTACTTCTTCTTAAAGAGTCATATTAAGCAAAAATTACTGTCTATTCTATCTTTTTCAATGGTGCTCTGACTAAATACAATCAATAAATTTTTATTTTATTACGAAGCTTTGTATGTTCCTAACTTAGCTGGTAATAAAGTCATCAACTTTTCTTTTGTATTAAACAGTTGATTTAAAATCTCACTTATTTTGACTTCACTATTCTGCTGAGAATGATGAATTTACCGAAATATTGGTGTGTTATTTGTAAATAAGATTGACATTTTCGCAACAGAAACTATAAATACTGATTAGAATTAAATTGTACAACTTTTTCTATCAACATGAACTTATTACTTAACAGCATTAATGGTGCGAATATTGTGAAAGTCGTAAATATTTGTAATTAATCATTTATTTATTTGAACACAAAAATATTGGTACAAGAGAGCGCCAATATAGATGCGCCACACAAAAAAATGAGAATTCGAAGAGAGAAAAGAAGGTAAGGAGCGTTAAAAAAACAAATAACGAACAGATTAGTGTAAAGTAGTGCAATAGTAATAATGGGGGAAACGAAAAGGCACAATCAGAAGAAATCTTTCAGTTAAGGGAGACACAACCACTGTTTATGAAGAAAGTAAAGGAAGGTTACAGCAGAATCGCCACTGGCTTCTATTCTGAGCCATATCTGATAACTTCTCTAGCCACAGTGTAGCACCATCTCTTGGACCCCAAACCAGGGAGTCATGAAGCACCAACACAAGCCAGTTCTTTGCAGCTTTCTTTCATACCACGACACCATATCATACACTGACCACCTCTCCGCTTTTTCCAACCAGTCTCAGCGTCGGCAAATAATGCACGACGTGGAATTCTCTGGGACGACATTCGTAGAACATGTCCAAGCCACCGAAGTCGGTGTTTCAAGATGGTGACACAAATTGGATTATCGTCTCTGCGCCCGAACACACGATTCCGAACCTCTGCATTAGTAACATGGTGTTGCCACAGGATGTCAGCAATCCTTCGGAGACAGTGATGATCAAACACAGAGAGTCGTCTAACGTCCTCAACTCGGAGGCCAGGTTTCACAAGCATGGAGCAAAACTGCTCTCACCGACGCGTTGTAGATCCGAACTTTTACAGCCAGACTAACATCACGAAGGTGCCAAAGATGGCTCAGATTGGCATAAACCGCTCTGGCTTTCACTATATGTGCATTGATCTCATCACTCACACCCACACCAGCACTTATGCAGCTACCTAGATACACGAACTTCTCGACTACTTCTATCTGCTCACCATCCAGGGTGAGTACAGGATTAGAATCTTGTCAGTCTTGTAGAAGTACTTTGCACTTCGAAGGTGCAAAGCCCATACCGTACCCATGGACACTGATTGCCAACTGATTAAGTGCGGATTGCATGGCTTGGATATTATCGCACAGTAAGACAATATCGTCCGCATACTCAAGGTCAAGAAGTCTTTCTCCAGGCAGTAGATCCACACCGCCATTACTCACATTCATCAGAACTGTTTCCAGAATGTCATCGATTGCAAAGTTGAAGAGGAATGGTGAGATTGGGCAACCCTGTCTAACCCCACTGCTTGAATGGAGCAACGGAGAGAGGTGGTTGTATGCCCTCACTCTGCCTGAGGTGTTCGTATATAAGGCCTTTGGATGTTAACAAACTTCTCAGGCACACCCTTCTTTAATAGACAATCCCAGAGAACAGTCCTATCCAACGAATCGAAGTCATCCCTAATGTCCAGAAACACTTCGATTGTTGACCTTTGATAAGTATGACGGTGTTCTAACATTTGGAGGAGGGTGAAGATATGATCAATACATCCTCGACCGGAACGAAAACCAGCCTGCTCCTCGCGAGTCAATCGTTCTCGGGTTTTGAACAACCTACGAAGTATGACGGAAGCCAATAGCTTGGACGCAATCAGAAGTAGACTTATCCCCCGATAGTTGTTACAGGAACGACGTGAACCCTTTTTAAAGATAGGGACAACTATCAACTCATTCCATGACGTTGGTACACTCTCTAGTTCCCAGACCTTTGTAAACAACGTCGTCAGTTCCTTTGTCAGAATGTCACCACCATCTTTAAAAAGAGTTGTAGGTAAGTCATCTGGGCCCGGTGGTTTGTAACGCTTCAAGGGTTGGAGTTCCTTGCGGACTTCCGCCTCATTTGGTGGATCAATCGTCACCGGCCATGGAGGGCAGGACAGTCTGACCGATGTTGTCGGAGCAGCAGGCCATTTGAACTGTCCTTCGAAGAATTCTGCCCATCGTCCAAGACGTCGATGGGTGTTAGTGGTTGGCATCCCGTCATCCTCACAGGTTGTGTCGCTCACACCAGACTTCTTGCTGCGAGTGGCTCGGATGAGTTGGAAGAGCTTCCGGCAGTTACCAGATGCAGCTTCTGCTTCCAGCTCATTAGCGCGCTCCGACTATCAGGCCTCTCGTTCCTTACGCAAGCTTTGCCCGATTTCATTATGTAACATCCTTCGTTTGTTGTCAAACTCACGGTCACGCGGAGTAGACCGGCGGGCTTCAATGAGTCTTAAGGAGCCTGAAGAAACCCAGTGCTTGTAAGCGGGACGTTTCGCGAAGCCGCAAGCGGCTTTACTCGCCATTTCGATGGCGTCATGAAGTTGCAACCAATGCTCATCTATTCTTTTTCTGTGCCTAGACGACCGACCTGAGCATTCAAGTCTCTGGATAGTACTACAATATCTGTCAAACGCACTTTCTGGAGAAGAACAGATAACTGGTGGTAAAACTCATCCTTGATTGCATCCGGGCTGCAATCTGTCGGCGCATAGGCGGAGATGACGAGAAGACATCGTTCATCACGCCGATTTCTTCTCACTTTGATGGAACTTTCTAATCTAACAGCACATAACCGACTGCGATCCGATGGGGATCCAATCGATTAGTGCTGACTCAGCTCTAGCGCTTAGTGCGACACCAACGCCAGCAAGACCAGACGAAGATGCCACGAGGTCCCCAGATAAACGCACGTAAAACAAGCTTTTCGAAGCGACAGATGGAGAGTGAATTTGTAGTACTTCACCAGAGTCTTAAATACGGGTCTTGGATAGACAGCAGACATCGATATTAAGACTTTCCAAAGATATAGCCAGTCCTATCTGTTGTCCGACCGACACTAGTGTGCGAACGTTGAAGGCAGCCAGTTTGAATGGTGCACGTGGTTTCAGAAAGACTGCTTCAGTTCTCGTATTCAGTGGTAACATACAATTTTCAACTAGGCAGTGACTCGAGAACGTCTAGATAGAGCCGAATTCCCACCATAGGCGAGGTGCTGTATAAGTTGAAAAATAAGGATACATAAAGTGGGAATAAAAGAGAGTGAATAAATGACGTAAAAAAAATAATAATAATAATGTGAATCATTTGATTGTTAATCTCAGCAAGAAGAGTACTTTTGATAAATATAGACAGTTCATCATATTTGTGTGTGGGCTGTGATACTGCTCGGGTGCCCAGACCGAAGCAGGTGATTATCTTAGAGGATGACACCCCGAGCATTTGACCTAAAGGTCTAACCCACAAGGCAGTGGAGCATCGTGAGGAGATGCATTCCCATGATAGCCGGTGACCAAAAATAGGTTCACACGCCATTTGTTCCCGCAGGGTACTGGAGCCCATGTGCAACATTGATTTGGTTTGGGGTCCGGTTAAAGCGCCGGACATTCGCTTTTTGTCCTCTCATTTTCGTAACCAAACCCCCGCCATGAGAAGGCACTGAGTAGGACTTCCCTGGCAGAGGCTATGTACGCGTGGCCGTGTGAGAGTATTTCGAGAGGGAGAGCGGACTCTCGGCTGTAACATGGCATTTGGGGCACTATTTGTCCTATTTGATGGAGAATTGTTGTCTATATTTTTACTCTAATTATTAGACACTCAGGCCACTTTATTCCCACATTCTCCTGTTTGTCAGCTTTTGTTTAATGTATAAACTGATGTTCTTTATTTTTACGTTCCTGAAGTTATCCTTAATGAATTATTGACTTATTATTCAGTTTTGCTGATGGCATTGTTATGCCTGTTTTGTAAATTCTTTTCCCTATTGATTTGTGTTCGAGTAATTAATCTATGAACTAAACTGTATTAGTATTGACCTCAATCGTTGATATGAAACAATCTATTTTAAGAATTCATTACAATTTTGTCTCATTGCTTTTCATCGAAATATTCTCAATTGAACATATGTATGTTTATAAATGACGAACTTTAGAGATCGATTTTAAAGTTAAACGGTTCGCCCGTTTGTTTTATCATTAATATTCTAATTTTCTTCATTCTTTTTTTTTTTTTTACTCTACTACCGTTGCAATACAGATCAGGCAGAACAATACTGGCACATTTTGTCATACAACTTGTAATAGCCTTATTTTTGGGCATTATCTATTTAAACATGAACAAATGGAGCGGATCTGGAATTCAAAATCGTGTGGGCTTATTTTTTATCACTTGTCTACATTTATTATTTATTAGCGGGACATTATTGGAAGTGTTTTTGAAAGATCGTTTGATATTTATGTAAGTTTATCTTGATGAGTTTAATATTAACTATCGTTATTATCTCATACACTGAATGATTTCAATTGATTTCGTCTCAACTCAATATAAATTTTTGAAGACAACAGTACATAACTACCTTCTTGCGAAGTTATCCGTTTTCTAATGTACAATAAATGTGCAGTATCTAGCGTTTTTCCTGCTCGTTTAGTGTGTGAATACTGCATATAAGAGTGTAAATTTGTTTCAAATTCCCTTTCAAAATTCTGAAGCTATCAACATCTGTTAGTCATGAATACGTTAGTTTAGCGCATCCTAATATGTCACGTGAAAAAAGCAAATAAAATTGAATTTAAGGCTTAAAATAAAATTCTTAGTGGCAATTACACATTCAGTAAACCTTCACTCACAAAATGAATTCGAAGTACTCCTAAACGCCTTGATATAGCGCACATATTGGACAATCGAAACCTGATAGATAACCTCTCCTCTATATTTGAGTATTTAGATTTCGTTGAGATCGTAAAATAATCAATATTAGACCACCACTAAAATCCTGGAATCACTAGACGGGCGTGTCGTCCCACTATGTGACTCCCCAGTTGTGCGCATCTGCGATCCCGTGTGCGAACTATTAAACTCCAGATTACTAAGTCGTCATTCAACGCTGTTGATGTCTAACTTCAATTGATCCATGATATTGCGCAACCCTTCATTGTTTTAAGTGGATAACTGTCTACACCCGACACGGATTGGACTCCATTGGTCATGGCTTCTTACTAGAACTCGGAAAATTAGCTCTCAAAGCTAGTCACTAGTGAGCACATGATAATTATTAGTATGGGATTGTGAAGATTTTATAGGGTTTTTTTATATAATGAACCGTTCAATGTTAGACCACCATTGAAAACCTAGAAACGTTGAACGACAAGAGACCGTAGATCCTGGGTTCTAGTCCTGCGTGCATGATTGCGTATGCGCAATGCTGAGGAGCCCCACTATGAAATGAAACAGCCGTCCAATGCTTCCGGGTTTTTACTGGTGTCCTAATATATAAATTGTTGTTCCTCCAGAACACTCAATCTGAGATATCTTAAAAAATGATTTATTCTAATTAGTTGAATGAAAAAAACTGCTCAATAAGATTATTCAAACTATAAGAATAATAAATTAAATCTATAATAGAAAAATATCTACCTGAACGATGAATTGTCTAAAATCATATCTCTTTTTAAATTTACCTGCTAATTAACATTCCAGTTATTACAATAAATTACAAATAATTATTTCATTGATTATTGTTTATTTGTTTTCTCTCCAATAATTAGACATGAAACATCAACTGGATTTTATCGTATTTCAGCATATTTTCTTTCTAAAATTTTATCGGATGTTTTGCCAATAAAAGTGATACCAGCTTTTTTGTGTTTATCTATAACATATTATTTAACTGGTCTTCGCTATGAATTATATCCATTTTTATTATGGCAACTCACTATTGGATTGTTAACATTTTGTGCATCAGCGATTACATTTGCTGTCAGTGCAATGGTAAATGATCAACGAATCGGATCAATATTATTATCTATGTTATTTGTTCTAATGATGGTATGTGTTGTAAAATTTGTTAGATATAAATTTTTGTAGAATAACATGTTTTTTTTCTTTTTTCTATGGTGATTGTGTTTTATAAGTTGATTAGTTTTCTTTGTTGCTGTTTTTTTTGTTGAAAAAAACTTATAGTTTGTATAATCAAAAGAGAAACAGACGAACTTTTCGATTAGATAGCTATTTCATCATCATTACCAATGACAATATTTTTATATTCAATATTGATGAATAATAACTTTTTGAAAACATTTTCAAAGTGTATGTAGATATCATCTTGGGGACAGTAGAATTTAATAGTCTGCCGAAAGGTTTAAACGACCTATTTCTCAACTATACAAATATTGCAAATAACTTTCCTGTTTTAAATGTATTTGAACTGAATAGATATGAATGCTAAGTGTGTGTACTCAGGTATTGTTATAAAAGGTTGGTAAATGTTTGAAATGGTCAATAGTGGGAAACGCAAACAGAAATATTAGATTTATTGAGATATTTTCGTCTTGTTTATCCTTTGAAAAAAGAGGGACAAATATATTGAAATCTATTCATCTAATTTATGATATATGCAGTGAAATAGTTGTAACAACTAACTTGAACAAAAATATCCCCTGATTGAATTTGGGTGGTCATATATTGACTATTGAAAAATAATTATAAAAGATATTTTCGAATAATTACAAGTTAAATAGGAATTTTCTTTACAATATTGAACAATTGGTGCTGGGGAATCATTAATGTAACCAAATGTATAGTACTTAATAAAATTATTATTTATGGTTGCTTTATACGATAAATCAACTAGTTGAAACTACAAACTATTGAGTAACAGCTCCGTTTATCTTTTTAATAGGCTTAAATTCTCAGTATTTGCTTTTGTTAATTTAATGAATGTAACTAATTGTTGATCGAATCGTATCTCTCTGAAATCTAGTTATTACTCTTATTGTACACTAGTTTACTTTATTTCTCATCACTTTTATGCACAGTTTTTTTTAATTTTTTTATTATTATAAGCTTTATTCAATATTATATTTTCGGTACAATATAGAATTCTCAGCACAAAGTATTTCAACAAGTTTCCGTTTCTTTCTTCTTGGTCGATCCTGACGATAAATATTGAGTGATAGCCAGTTAGATGTTAGCAGTCGAGTAAATAAACATCTGAATAATGTATATTCTTTTCTCTGCATATTGCCAGCGACCACATTATCTCTCATTGAGCTTTTTGTAACTTTGACAACGAAAGGTTGTAAACTTTTCAGAAATGCACTAGGATGGGTTATGCGATTAATATACATAATGATATATTAAAACAAACAAAAATAGATAACTTGTTGAAATATTTAGATGACAGGAACAGGTAGCCCAGATGCTCAAGCAGGCCGCCCAATTACTGTTCTTACTCAAAATAATGCCAAACTATCGTAATATTGTCTCTTATCACCACACAATTTCATAAAGTTTGTCTTATTTTAACTTTTCCTTACAAAATACGTTTTGTTTATTTATTTTTTAGATAACTAGTGGTTATTTAGTAAATATATCAACTTTATGGAAATGGCTTCAATTATTTCGTTATATTTCAATACTACGTTATGCTATAAACATATTAACAATAAATGAATTATTTGATATGACATTTTGTCCTGAAACAACATTACCTTATTCAAAATTATCATCTGTAGATTTTAATCGCATTAATGCAAGTGATTCGCCTTATTCAAATGCAACATCATTATTAATAAATGAATGGAAAAACACTGAGTACTTTCAAACTGGGATTGGAAAAATTCAAAATTTAGAATCTATCTGGTAATTAGTTCTATCTTATTTTCTCAAATCATTACAATGTAATGTAATTATATTTCTAGTACATAAGCTAATACACCTTTTAATCGAATTCAGTTGGTTGTATATATATATATAATAAAAGAACAATCAATAAAAAACAAATTCCTAATAAATGAGTGATAATTAAGGTTACCTAGTTGACATAACACTAGAGTTAACGTCATGAGCGAATATCAGTCTCTTTTTTATTTATAAAGTACAATAGAGATAATGAAATTGACAAACGTTACCATTGAGATTAGAGGTCTATCACTTTCTTTCTGTATACAAAGATCAGGTTAAAAGCGCTTAGTGAAAATGGTTTCTGAAAGGCGGAGTAAGGCGACATATGCTGCTTGTTGATTATTTAAAACGCGACAATGACGTTGTGTTCACTATGTTTAGTGATCGCACTTGTGAATCCTGTACTTCCTTTCAGAAACAACTTATGGGGAATGTGTTCGAAAAACCTTGTGGACCCCCCGTTCTTTCGTTGTGTACTCACTTCCTTAAGTACACGTAAATTCTTAACTACATTTGAGTATATATATTTATATATTTTCTACATTTCATCACTTCTTTAAACTGTTGGTATCAGACTATCGAAACACGAGTTTGTAAAAAAGGTTTGCAATCTTGGTGCAATTACGTTCTGTAACCTGAGTGATTTGGTTCTGAAGCTTTCATGGTCTTTCCTGACATTGTCACTTCCACAAAAGCTCAAATAGAAGTGGTCCATGAGAATTTCTTCATAGGTGACAAACAGCTTGTGGTGGTTGTTGAGATTTTTGCTTGTAAGAACGAGTCCCCGATCTATTTTCAAAATAGTCTCATGGATATTATCATAATCATTAGACAAAACATCCTGAATGGTTAGCGATGATATCTCAAGGTTTGTTAGGTTGTTTATGATAGTTATCATGAATAACAGTTGTCTATCATGAACGGCTTGTAGTAAAATATCGATCCAGATTTCCTACCTACAGATATTTCCTCGGAGATAGGAAATCAACTGTAGATTGTACGGTACAATAATTTAACTATGCACACTGATCACCCGAATATAAAATGTGTAAACTGTTTCGAAATGCATCCACCTATTAACGTGAAATGCAGTGTTTTTCCAATACAACTGAAAACTATCAAAACAGTGAAACTTCCTATGATTGTATACTTTCTCACTGTTGCACATGGGCTCCAGTATCCTGCGGGAACAAATGGCGTGTGAACCTATTTTTGGTCACCGGCTATCATGGGAATGCATCTCCTCACGATGCTCCACTGCCTTGTGGGTTAGACCTTTAGGTCAAAGGCTCGAGGTGTGGTCCTCTAAGATAATCACCTGCTTCGGTCTGGGCACCCGGGCAGTATTACAGCCCACACACAAATATGATGAACTGTCTATATTTATCAAAAGTACTCTTCTTGCTGCGATTAACAATCAAGTGATTCACATTATTATTATTATTATTTTTACGTCATTTATTCACTCTCTTTTATTCCCACTTTATGTATCCTTATTTTTCAACTTATACAGCAGCTCGCCTATGGTGGGAATTCGGCTCTATCTAGACGTTCTCGAGTCACTGCCTAGTTGAAAATTGTATGTTACCACTGAATACGAGAACTGAAGCAGTCTTTCTGAAACCACGTGCACCATTCAAACTGGCTGCCTTCAACGTTCGCACACTAGTGTCGGTCGGACAACAGATAGGACTGGCTATATCTTTGGAAAGTCTTAATATCGATGTCTGCTGTCTATCCAAGACCCGTATTTAAGACTCTGGTGAAGTACTACAAATTCACTCTCCATCTGTCGCTTCGAAAAGCTTGTTTTACGTGCGTTTATCTGGGGACCTCGTGGCATCTTCGTCTGGTCTTGCTGGCGTTGGTGTCGCACTAAGCGCTAGAGCTGAGTCAGCACTAATCGATTGGATCCCCATCGGATCGCAGTCGGTTATGTGCTGTTAGATTAGAAAGTTCCATCAAAGTGAGAAGAAATCGGCGTGATGAACGATGTCTTCTCGTCATCTCCGCCTATGCGCCGACAGATTGCAGCCCGGATGCAATCAAGGATGAGTTTTACCACCAGTTATCTGTTCTTCTCCAGAAAGTGCGTTTGACAGATATTGTAGTACTATCCAGAGACTTGAATGCTCAGGTCGGTCGTCTAGGCACAGAAAAGTATAGATGAGCATTGGTTGCAACTTCATGACGCCATCGAAATGGCGAGTAAAGCCGCTTGCGGCTTCGCGAAACGTCCCGCTTACAAGCACTGGGTTTCTTCAGGCTCCTTACAACTCATTGAAGCCCGTCGGTCTACTCCGCGTGATCGTGAGTTTGACAACAAACGAAGGATGTTACGTAATGAAATCGGGCAAAGCCTGCGTATGGAACGAGAAGCCTGGTGGTCGGAGCGTGCTAATGAGCTGGAAGCAGAAGCTGCATCTGGTAACTACCGGAAGCTCTTCCAGCTCATCCGAGCCACTCGCAGCAAGAAGTCTGGTGTGAGCGACACAACCTGTGAGGATGATGGGATGCCAATCACTAATATCCATCGACGTCTTGGACGATGGGCAGAATTCTTCGAAGGGCAGTTCAAATGGCCTGCTGCTCCGACAACATCGGTCAAACTGTCCTGCCCTCCATGGCCGGTGACGACTGATCCAACAAATGAGGCGGAAGTCCGCAAGGAACTCCAACCCTTGACTTACCTCCGGCCCTTCTTAAAGATGGTGGTGACATTCCGACAAAGGAACTGACGACGTTGTTTACAAAGGTCTGGGAACTAGAGAGTGTACCAACGTCATGGAATGAGTTGATAGTTGTCCCTATCTTTAAAAAGGGTTCACGTCGTTCCTGTAACAACTATCGGGTGATAAGTCTACTACCGATTGCGTCCAAGCTATTGGCTTCCGTCATACTTCGTAGGTTGTTCAAAACCCGAGAACGATTGACTCGAGAGGAGCAGGCTGGTTTTCGTTCCGGTCGATGATGTATTGACCATATCTTCACCCTCCTCCAAATGTTAGAACACCGTCATACTTATCAAAGGTCAACAATCGAAGTGTTTCTGGACATTAGGAATGACTTCGATTTGCTGGATAGGACTGTTCTCTGGGATTGCCTATTGAAGAAGGGTGTACCTGAGAAGTTTGTTAACATCCTGAAAGCCCTATATACAAACACCTCAGGCAGAGGTGGTTAGACAGGGTTGCCCAATCTCACCATTTCTCTTCAGCTTTGCAATCGATGACATTCTGGAAACAGCTCTGATGGATGTGAGTAATGGCGGTGTGGATCTACTGACTAGAGAATTACTTCTGGACCTTGAGTATGCGGATGATATTGTCTTACTGCGTGATAATACCCAAGCCATGCAATCCGCACTTAATCAGTTGGCAATCAGTGTCCGTGGGTACGGTATGTGCTTTGCAACTTCGAAGTGCAAAGTACTTCTACAAGACTGACAGGATTCTAATCCTGTACCCACCCTGGATGGTGAGCAGATAGAAGTAGTCGAGAAGTTCGTGTATCTAGGTAGCTGCATAAGTGCTAGTGGGAGTGTGAGTGATGAGATCAATGCACGTATAGTGAAAGCCAGAGCGGTTTATGCCAATCTGAGCCATCTTTGGCGCCTTCGTGATGTTAGTCTGGCTGTAAAAGTTCGGATCTACAACGCGTCAATGAGAGCAGTTTTGCTCCATGCTTGTGAAACCTGGCCTCTCCGAGTTGAGGACGTTAGACGACTCTCTGTGTTTGATCATCGTTGTCTCTGAAGGATTGCTGACATCCAGTGGCAACACAATGTTAGTAATGCAGAGGTTCAGCATCGTGTGTTTGGACGCAGAGATGCTAATGCAATCGATGTCACCATCTTGAAACACCGACTTCGGTGGCTTGGGCATGTTCTGCGAATGTCGTCCCAAAGAATTCCACGTCGTGCATTATTTGCCGACGCTGGGACTGGTTGGAAGAGGAGGGGAGGTGGTCAGTGTATGACATGGTGTCGTGGTATGAAAGAAAACTGCAAAGGACTGTCTTCTGTCGGTCCTTCACGACTCCCTGGTTGGGGTCTGAGAGATGGTGCTACACAGTGGCTAGAGACGTTATCAGATATGGCTCAGAATAGAAGCCAGTGGCGATTCTGCTGTAACCTTCCTTTACTTTCTTCATAAACAGTGGTTGTGTCTCCCTTAACTGAAAGATTTCTTCTGATTGTACCTTTTCGTTTCCCCCATTATTACTATTGCACTACTTTACACTAATCTGTTCGTTATTTCTCTTTTTTTACCCTCCTTACCTTTTTTCTCTCTCTTGGAATACTCATTTTTTTGTGTGGCGCATGTATTTTTGGTGCCCTCTTGTACCAATATTTATGTGCTCTAATAAATAGATGAATAATTGCATACGTCCTAGTAGATAATCTTCAACAGATTTATACTTGTATTATATGTGGGTATGTGCTGGTTCAGCACTTGAAAGATATTGATTTAATTAAAATATCTGTTATTATTCTCACGTTCTTTATTTATTTTTATTTAATTATACAGCATTAGCGGTGCACAGTATTTAGAATCGCAAGCAATTGAATATCGATCAAAATGGGCAGTTTGGCTAAATGAATTAGGTATATTTGTGATTGCAATTTTAGCCTTGTGTGTAGCTTATATTCATTTAAGACTAATTAAACGATATAGATAGAAGACAATTAAATCAATCAATATAATATTTACATATATTTAGTAATAGAATGATTTATACTAATTATTTTTCTAGAAACATTTTCTTCAAATATGTAACTAATTCCGTTCGTAAAATTAAAACTGTCTTTCATATAACCAGTTTGTTTTTTCTTCGAATAACATTATATATATATATACCTTAAAAGCATACAATTGGTCTGTGCAAATCTAATTGTTTATTACTAGTAACATTCATGAACATGAGCATAATGTTTATTTTAATTGTTGAAAAACGACCAATAATAATGCATGTATTTTTTTTATCAGTTTGAGTTTTTGTTTTCCTGTTTTCTACTTTACTATATTGTTTACTTTTTTCTCGTTTCCTGTACATAATATGTTTATTTTTATAATATTGCTGGATTTTTTTTTTCTATATCCAATAATTAATTTTTTGTACAACGAACATTTATATATGAGAAATCTAGACATTATACCTCTTATGTTCTTCGATGACAGCTAGTAGCGTACATATTCTAAAGCATATTAATAACTGTATATGTAAAGTTCGGGTCATAAAGACTAGACAAAATTGGACGATGAAGAGTTCACGAGTTGAACACCCTAGTTATCTTAGCCAAGTAATCGTGCCATTTTTAGTTTATTCGTAACGAAACATTCATATAGATAGATGTAGGTGGTTGGAGTTTGTCAAATCACATAAACTGTAATCTAAGACATTTACAATAACGTACCTACCAAAGGTTAGCTGTCAGTAAGTGGCTGCTTTTTCTGCATATAATAAAATAATTTTTTAGTAGGTAACCTTTTCTGCTACATCATTCAATAGATTGCGGATTTTAGGACCTGGTCACCACAGAACATACCGTCGAGCAGATAAGTGTCGAAATATCCCATGATTTTGTTATTGAAGACAAAATACTTTTCAAGCAGCGGATGCAACGCAATTTCGCGGACAGTCCATTAAGCTGAAACAGTCCGAGATTAAACTTCACCTCGCTTCTGATACTATTCATATTAAAGTATTTGTCGTCTTGACTTTGTTCATTGCTGTGTTCTACGCGGATTCCAACTTGTATTTTATTTTACATTGATTTTATTTGTGATAACACAACTAAGATGATCTGATAAGTACCTAGGTAAGATAGAAACCGATAGTTACTAACCTCAGGACACATGAAACTGCTTCTGCGAGTATGGACATTCATGAGTCCTACGGATTGAGTTGCATTAAACTAGTTAAGATATGAATCTTAACACCTCGACTACACTATACAGCATCTTGTTTCGGCTCGGGTGTTCCGCCATATAAAAGCCCTCAAAGAATGTATTTGTGAAATATTTAGTAATATTTTCTTTTCGAACAAAAGCCAAAACCGTTCTGGAATTCTATGCAATATTGTGTCGAATATTAATAAGTACAGAGAATAAAAGTCAAGGTAAAAAGTTTAGAAAGACTTCTCAGTATTTCGTAAATAGTATAAAGAGTAAGAGATCGAAAAATTTACGGTAAGATTTCACTTGGGATTTAGTCAAACTAAGTCGAGATTACAAAGAATAAGTTATTGCACTTTGATTGTTACAATACATGATTTCTTCAGGTAGGTTTTTGAAGGACTCTACAATTTGAGTAAGTGAGGGACGATCTTGAGGATTAGCGGACAGCATTGCTTTCATTAACTTTATCAATTCTGGTGGAACTCTGAAAAATTAAATAAAGGAGAGTAAAAAAGAATGTTTAATCGAGTGGTATACCGTACAGAACAGAACAGTCGTAACAACGTTAATATTGCATTGAGTTACCTTAAGAAACTTGGTCTAAGAACAAAGCGATAGCTGATGACGTCAGATTAAATTAGAGGGCCTGATTTCTATTGAGGAGGGGCTTATAATATGTTAGACTGGTTCTTAGAGCTGATTAAATTTCATCGACTAGGTTTTAACGTGGGCATTAAATTAAGCAACTTGAAATCGCATGTAAAACAAAGATATAATTTCTTCATATCACTACTCTAATAATTTTGTATCCTAAAATCGGATCAAAAGGTGATTGGCCATCGCAAAATCACGATGATATTTTGATAACTATAAAATGTCTTTAAAAAACACTTACTTTGAACACGAATCTATTGGGAAATATATATTAGCTGAACAAGCAGCAAGAGCAACGCTATCACCCCGCGCATGAACGAAATCCATTGGGGATTTGAAAAAAATCAGAGCATAAAAGAGACATCCTAGGGACTAAAATAAGTATTCAGGCATAAAAAACCGTAGGAAAGTGCTTGCCCAAACATCAGCTTTCTCGGTTATGGTTTCGTAAGTTATTGGATTAAACAACTCTGGAGCCCGATAAGTTAGTGAACAGTTTTCTTCAGCAAACTCCTTGAAAAACAAAATCTAGTAACAAAATGTTACCTTCCATTTTTCTGCATCTCTAATGCTCTCAATAGGAAGAATGGAGGGAGTAGCAGAGCCAAAATCCATTAAAACTGGTCTCATTTCTTCAAACAAAAGAATATTCCCAGGCTTTATATCTCTATAGAGAAATATGTCTACAAGTATAATTGTTTACCGATGAGACATTGGAATATCAAGAGAAAGAAGAGCAATAAGGCCATCGCAAATACCAATCATCATGGTCTTTATAAGGTACAGGGGGAACATAACGTTACGTGCAGATCTGTGGTTAATTTCACGTTGCAACGTACCTCGCTAAAATACTTCATCTGACATACATTAAAACATACCTTGCTATAAGATAACACCAAAAGAACTTCTGAAATAGCTCCTTGTTTACGTCTAGAGACATGTTGTAGGCCACTCGCGATACAGGAAAGCAAGTTGGGATGATCAGGGAGATTCAATTGAAAATTAGCTTCTTTTAAAGCCTTACTTTCATCATTCTTTGAATGGCATAGGATACGTTTTAAAGCGAATGATCTTTTAGACACTTTGTCAAAAACGAGATCTATTCGGCTAAATCCACTGAAAGCTTTCATTATTAGAAAACCTTATAAACATACCCAGTATCTAACTTATCGCGCACGTAAAACGTTTTCCAGTGTCCTGATGCATCCTTTACTCGAACAACTTCATTACATGGGTCTGTACAACCCACAAGACAAAAGTTTCTCAGAACCATACATTCAAGTGAGATTCGTCACTAAGATGAAGATTGATACTGAAGATATACTGGTGGTCTTAAACAAATATCTAAAGAGTAAGACCTACTTAAGCTCCAACAGACACATAAAATTAACAAACGAATTCTGATCTAGTTGTTTAAGACCATTTGTATTGTATATGCTTAGCGACTAAATACTGGGATAAGAAAGTCCTAGAAACTTCAATTAATAGAAGGGCTAATATAAATACATAAGCACATTTCACGATGTAGAACTATAATGACGTGTTTAGCAGTTTAAATGAAGTATGATGCAAAGACCTTAAATTTATTAAGTCTTTAGATTATTTATCTTGCAGCCTACCACTTCTTTTACTAATCTAGTCTGAAATATCTTTTGAGTTGACGTGTCCCAAACAGAATCTATAAACCCACTTTTACCTTTTCTTCCTGGTACTGGTGGGCGTGTGAATAGAATGTGTTTTTATGGTAATCTTATGTAGGCGTGTGGTTGTGAGGTGTTCATATTGGTCATCATTAATAACGATTGCCCGCTTCGTACTTGTTGTATTGGATGCCAAATAATTTTGGCTGCAGAGAGATTTACCATTAACTGTTCTTACAAATGACCTCATGAACAGGACCAGACTTAGATGATATAGATATTAAAATAACAGAGCAGTTACTAGTCATGAACATATAGTACTGTTCTAAGTACTTAAATGCACAATAATTGAATTTTAAAGATTGGGTCACTTGTACTATGCTTAAAGTTGTGATCGTGCTTATCTTGTCATTCAGATCTGCGTTGTTTTCTACACACTTAATTTTTCAACGTTGAGTTGGTGGTGAACTTAAGGGTTAAATTCTTGTCAGTTAAATATATTCTGAAGATGAATGCATAAAAAATAGGATGTTGGTCGGCATGTGATTAACGGGGCTGTAGTATGTGACACTGCTAGTTATGTGGAACTGTGAGATAATGACCTGTTATTTTAAATATTTGCTCATAACGAAGAGTCATACACCAGAATTTGCAACGATCACAAGGTTTTTTAAAATAATTGATATTGCAATTAGCTTACATCGAATGAATCTGTGTTCATTTATAAAGTTTGTAATAGCTAAATGCTGTTTTTAGTGACCGACTTATGGATAACCGTTCGTGCTTTCATAAGAGGGGCAACAGAAAAAAAGGGGATTAATAACATCATGCTGAAGCTAATTAACACTTCATGAAATCGAAAGCTTTATATTGATGTACTAAGTTTTAGCTCGTACACCATTAGGTACGCATGTGACAGTGCTGACTGAGAAAAATCCGACACCTTATTCTCATTATTTTAGGATAACGCAAAATCGATTTATAATATTTTGACGAAATTTCGCAATGATTTATAAGACTATTGGATTGGGTCTGTGTAGAGGATTTTACCAGGAAGTAGATTTTATACTCTCGCATTGTGTTTATACTTTTGGAAAACCATGAATTAGTCATAAAGCATATCGTCTATGTTTCCCACTGTAGCGGTAAATAAATCCCCAAACTAAATAGCTCTGTAGGTTTTCGACATTGGATGCTGACCATATGTTTTAGTGGACTCATCTAGCTAAAGGCGCTCGGTCATGCATCCGCACCAGATCACGTGTGGTAACGCTGTGCTCAACATCTACCGCAATCGCTAGCCAGATTAGATCAGAGAATTTCGATATATTGGTTATCGCCAAATACACTCTTCCGATCTCCTCGACTCTGTCTTTTGATTTCTCTCGGTGGGAACAAAGTATATTAGGTGTTACTGGTAGAAGCGTTGTCAAACACCGAATACCTGTATCATCCTCACCATTATTGATCATCACATTGTTAATTG